AAATATATCACAGCGTCAGCAAACATAAAATATATCACAGCGTCAACAAGCATAAATTATATCACAGCGTCAATAAACATAAAATATATCCCAGCGTCAACAAACATAAAATATATCACTGCGTCAACAAACATAATATATATCACAGCGTCAACAAACATAAATTATATCACAGCGTCAATAAACATAAAATATATCCCAGCGTCAACAAACATACAAAATACATTACAACGTCAAAAAGCATAAAATATATCACAGCGTCAACAAATATAAAATATATCACAGTGTCAACAAACATACGAAATACATTGCAACGTCAACAAACATAAAATATATCGCAGCGTCAACAAACATAAATTATATCACAGCGTCAATAAACATAAAATATACCACAGCGTCAACAAACATACAAAATATATTACAACGTCAAAAAGCATAAAATATATCACAGCGTCAACAAGACATTACGACGTCAACAAATATAAAATATATCACTGCGTCAACAAACATAATATATATCACAGCGTCAACAAACATAAGAAATACATTGCAACGTCAACAAACATAAAATATATCAAAGCGTAAACCAACATAAAATATATCCCAGCGTCAACAAACATAAAATATATCACAGCATCAACAAACATAAAATATATCACAGCGACAACAAACATAAATTATATCACAGCGTCAATAAACATAAAATATACCACAGCGTCAACAAACATAAAATATAGCGTCAACAAACATAAAATATATCGCAGCGTCAACAAACATAAATTATATCACAGCGTCAATAAACATAAAATATATCCCAGCGTCAACAAACATAAAATATATCACTACAGAGTCAACAAACATACAAAATACATTACAACGTCAGCAAACATAAAATATATCACAGCGTCAACGAACATACAAAATACATTACAACGTCAAAAAGCATAAAATATATCCCAGCGTCAACAAACATAAAATATATCAAAGCGTAAACCAACATAAAATATATCCCAGCGTCAACAAACATAAAATATATCGCAGCGTCAACAAACATAAATTATATCACAGCGTCAATAAACATAAAATATACCACAGCGTCAACAAACATACAAAATACATTACAACGTCAGCAAACATAAAATATATCACAGCGTCATCAAATATACAAAATACATTACAACGTCAACAAACATAAAATATACCACAGCGTCAACAAACATAAAATATAACACAGCGTCAACAAACTTACAAAATATACATCACTGCGTCAACAAACATAAAATCAAATATAAAATATATCACAGCGTCAACAATCATAAAATATATCACTGCGTCAACAAACATAATATATATCACAGCGTCAACAAACATAAGAAATACATTGCAACGTCAACAAACATAAAATATATCCCAGCGTCAACAAACATAAAATATATCACTGCGTCAACAAACATAAAATCAAATATAAAATATATCACAGCGTCAACAAGCATAAATTATATCACAGCGTCAATAAACATAAAATATATCACAGCGTCAGCAAACATAAAATATATCACAGCGTCATCAAATATACAAAGTACATTACAACGTCAACAAACATAAAATATACCACAGCGTCAACAAACATAAAATATATCACAGCGTAAAAAAAATATAAAAAATACATTACAACGTCAACAAACATAAAATATAACTACAGAGTCAACAAATATAAAATATATCACAGCGTCAACAAACATGCAAAATACATTACAACGTCAACAAACATAAAATATAACTACAGAGGCAACAAATATAAAATTTATCACAGCGTCAACAAACATAAAATATAACTACAGAGGCAACAAATATAAAATTTATCATAGCGTCAACAAACATAAAATATATCACAGCTTCAACAAACATGCAAAATACTTTACAACGTCAACAAACATAAAATATACCTACAGAGGCACCAAATATAAAATTTACCACAGCGTCAACAAACATACAAAATACATTACAACGTCAACAAACATAAAATATATCACAGCGTCAACAGACATAAAATATATCACAGCGTCAATAAATATAAAATATATCACAGCGTCAACAAACATACAAAATACATTACAACGTCAAAAAACATAAAATATACTACAGCGTCAAAAAACATAAATATATCACAGCGTCAACAAACATAAAATATATCACAGCGTCAACAAACATAAAATATATCACAGCGTCAGCAAACATAAAATATATCACAGCGTCAACAAACATAAAATGTATCACAGCGTCAACAAACATAAAATATATCACAGCGTCAACAAACATAAAATATATCACAGCATCGACAAACATAAAATATATCACAGCGTCAACAAAAATACAAAATACATTACAACGTCAACAAATATAAAATGTATCACAGCGTCAACAAATATAAAATATATCGCAGCGTCAACAAACATACAAAATACATTACAACGTCAGCAAACATAAAATATATCACAGCGTCAACAAACATAAAATATAACACAGCGTCAACAAACTTACAAAATATACTACAGTGTCAATAGACATATGAAAAATACCATAGTGTCAACAGACATATAAAATATACCACAGTGTCAACAGACATATAAAATATACCACAGTGTCAACAGAGATTTAAAATATACCACAGTGTCAATAAACAAACAAAATATATACCGGCGTCAAAAAACTTACAAAATATACCACAGTGTCAGCAAAAATAAAATATATAACAGTGTCAGCAAACGTACAAAATACATTACAACGTCAACAAACTTACAAAATATACCACAGTATCAGGAAACATATAAAATATACCACAGTATCAACAGACATATAAAATATACCACAGTGTCAACAGACATATAAAATATACCACAGAGTCAAGATACAAACAAAATATATAACAGCGTCAACAAACGTACAAAAAACATTACAACGTCAACAAACTTACAAAATATACCACAGTGTCAGCAAATACAAAATAAATCACAGCGTCAACAAAAATAAAATATATAACAGTGTCAACAAACGTACAAAATACATTACAACGTCAACAAACTTACAAAATATACCACAGTGTCAGCAAACATATAAAATATACCACAGTGGCAACAGACATATAAAATATACCACAGTTTCAACAGACATATGAAATATACCACAGTGTCAACAGACATATAAAATATACCACAGTGTCAAGATACAAACAAAATATATAACAGTGTCAACAAACGTATAAAATATACCACAGTGTCAGCAAATACAAAATAAATCACAGCGTCAACAAAAATAAAATATACCACAGTGTCAGCAAACATATAAAATATACCACAGTGTCAGCAAGCATATAAAATATACCACAGTGTCAACAGACAGATAAAATATACCATAGTGTCAACAAACAGATAAATTATACCACAGTGTCAACAGAATTTTAAAATATACCACATTGTCAACAGACATATACAATATACCACAGTGTCAATATACAAACAAAATATATAACAGCGTCAACAAACCTACAAAATATACCACAGTGTCAGCGAACTTATAAAATATACCACAGTGTCAACAGACATATAAAATATACCACAGTGTCAACAGACATATAAAATATACCACAGTGTCAACAGACATTTAAAATATACCAGTGTCAATATACAAACAAAATATATAACAGCGTCAACAAACTTACAAAATATACCACAGTGTCAGCAAATATAAAATAAATCACAGCGTCAACAAACGTACAAAATACATTACAACGTCAACAAACTTACAAAATATACCACAGTGTCAACAGACATATAAAATATACCACAGTGTCAACAGACATAAAATATACCACAGCGTCTATAAACAAACAAAATATATTACAGTGTCAATAAACATATAAAATATATCACAGCGTCAACAAATCTAAAATATATCACAGCGTCAACAAACATACAAAATACATTACATTATCAACAAACATAAAATATAACACAGCGTCAACAAACATACAAAATACATTACAATGTCAACAAGCATAAAATATATCACAGCGTCAACTAACATAAAATATATCACAGCGTCTATAAACAAACAAAATACATTACAGTGTCAATAAACATATAAAATATATCACAGCGTCAACAAATATAAAATATATCACAGCGTCAACAAACATACAAAATACATTAGAAAATCAACAGACATATAAAATATACCACAGCGTCTATAAACAAACAAAATACATTACAGTGTTAATAAACATACAAAATATACCACAGCGTCTATAAACAAACAAAATACATTACAGTGTCAATAAACATACAAAATATATCACAGCGTTTATAAACACATAGAATATACCACAACGTCAACCGACATACAAAATACATTAGAAAATCAACAAACATAAAATATACCACAGCGTCAATAAACATACAAAATATATCACAGCGTCAATAAAGAATTGCTAATATTTATACGTTTTTCATATCAAAATATTAATTTGGCTTGTAATATATATATATATATATATATATATATTTATATATATGTAGCAGAACTGGACTGGGTCGATAGTCAACGACCAGATAAAACGGCTGTCTTGTTCGGAGGGTCCCGGGTTCGATATATATTTACCTGAGAAGAAACGTTAACGCTTTAAATATAGTTAACGGGTTATACAACCATCCAAAACACTTTCCAATGTTGTAAATATTGTATATTATATGTCGGCCACATGTGAGATGAGGCCTTGTCTCAATTAATGTGTTATCGAATTTAAATAAAGTTTTATTATTATAGCAATTAAATATCATTAGAGACGTATATTATATACGTCTCTGATATCATATTTCGAAAATCCCCATTAAAAAATATCAAATTTAATTCCTGTTATTATTAATCATGTTATTCTTAAATTAAAAAATAAATAAGCAGATAAATAAATTACTCTTTTATAATATTCCGTAATAATGCGTTCGTGTCTGGTTCTATTATTAGAAAAACAATCATGGCCGCTGAGTTGTTGGGGTAAGCGATCAATCCGACTGCAATTTTGCATTCTTTGATTTCCAACTAAAATCATTATATGGATATGTTTAAAATATTGTTCTCTTTTCATTTTTCAGTCGCGGAAATGATGAATTTGTAAACGAAAATTACCAAAAAGCACTTGAGGTAAGAGCAATGATCGTGGAGGATCTGGAGATTCTAGCAAATTCCAAAACAAGAAACTGCATGTCACATCTGCAAGTCGGTCACCAATGTTACGGTATATGGTGACACATTTCATTTCTCCTTCATCTGACAAGTTCTTTGACATAAAACATGTTAACTTAAAGGAACTATCTAGTAAGGGCAGTTCATTAAGTAGTCGGTGGTCCGTAGTGTTCTGAGCAGATCCACCGTCCAGTACTAGCTGTGATAACGAACGTAGCTTTCTGACGACGAGATCTTTTTTTATATATTGCGTCGTCAGAGCTCCGGCCGGGGCAGAGGAGGCCGGGTATTTTTATAAGTACTAGTCCAGTACACTGTGCCGATTGAGCTATATAGCTGTACATATCTGAAATAGGTCTTTTGAGCTAATTAAATGTGATTTTCTTTTTTAAGGAAAACGAAACAAAGTCGCGTTTAAAAGAAGATTTTATGATTTGATTGATAATAAAAGACATTAAATATAAATATTCTTTTTTAAAAATAATGATGTAAAAAAATCGGAAATAAACATCTAAACGTATGCGTTAATTTAATGAAAATTGAAATGCAATACAGCTATAATCAATACAGCTATAATTCATAGGTGAATATAGCTATATAGGTCTTTATAGCTATATAGCTTGCTCGGCCGAGTGTACTGGACCTGTGAGACAATGCACAATTTCGATACATTTAGGTACATAACCTGGTAAAACCGGTGTCTAAAAATAGAAATGTTCGGTACCAAATATAAACAATGCAGAATGCATCTTAATAAAATTTTAAACAGTTTGTTTAAATCATATTTTGAACAGTATGAGACCACAAAGAACGGCAATTGAGGGTTTAACATAAATATAATGATTAAAACACATCTCATAATAGTTATATAACAGAGTGTGAAAATACTTAAGTGGTCTTGCACTGAACCGGAAGAAGAAGAACATCTATGATTGTTAGTCCAACAATGTTAGAGGTATAGTACGGTTGGATACTTTTAACAAGTGTGCAGTTGGCTAAATCTTGTTGGATAAAATAAATAATAGCTAGGAATAATGGAATGTGTTTGAACATAACTGGAAGTTTTGGATTTTGGCAAATGTTGTTTGTTGTTGCTACAGAAAGTAATGTACAGGTCCATGATTAGTTTAGATTGAGCTAATTTCTTGCATACTAGACCGAGATATCTTTATTACCTGCGATGCTGAAAAATTCTATCCGACCCACAGGTCTGGAATCGCTTACACATGCAATAGTGGCGGGGGAATTATAGTGACCTTTTGGGGTCACCCTATTGTTTGCAACCCAACGTCATTAATTAACAATTGTCATCCAGGCTTCATATGCAAATGAGAAATGTGCTGACAGTTTCGTTTTTACTAGAAGAACAGCTGTTTTTACTGGTTTTAGGTAATAAGCAAGAAATAAAATCTATCCCTGATGTGAGGTATATTAATATGGTAATTCAAACCCTCGGAGAAAAATATTGAGCAGAAGACCCTCTGCAAAGTTTTTTTGCTCAATATTTTATCCCTTGGGTTTGAATTACCTTTATATCCATACCTCACATCAAGGATGGATTCTATTAATGCTGTGAAGATGCAATGGATTCTTTTAAAGTAAAGGATATTTCAGTAATTTTTGTAAAAACACACAACTCTAATTAGGAAGTACCTATAAACATCTTGCACAACTAACACAAGTACTGAAACTAAAATTGGTACCGAAATGACGTTTTTTGACCTAGTACCGAGACATCTGTTCCCCGCAGCTGTAAAGATCTATAATGGTGATAGCTGTAGGATTTTATCAACATATATCTGAAATAGGTCTTTTGAGCTGTTTTCATATAATTTTCTTCTTTCTAAAAGAAATTGACATAGAGTTGCATTTAGAAGACAATATAATTACTATTTTAATCACAAAAAAAAATCAATCTTTTTAGAAGAAGTTGACTTAAAAATCGGAAAGATTTCTTTTATGAAAAATAATGATGTACCTTTAACTATATGACATACACTCAATAATCATTGTTCTCGCAAAGTGAAGTCAATAATGATTATTCTCACTCAATATCAGGTCATAATGTAACCAGACCATAGAATATAACAAAATTCCATGATGTTGACAATAGTACGTGTGGGTTGAGCTATGTAAATTGTCCGTGAATAGAAACAATTATGTGACGTCTTGAACAGTAAATGTGGGCGAAGTTAGCCAAAAGCTTAGGCAAATTCCAGGCTGTTACATTTATTGAACCGATAAAAGCACATTATTAAGTTTTGAAAATAAAATCTGTGTCCCGACTGATCTGTCTAATGATTAAAAGAGTTATGAAACATTCACAGAAAAGATCTGTAAAAACATGAAATAGTTTTCTTTTTTGGTCAGGTTATGAGGAGATAACTGAAAGCATGACAATTGTGTAAATTAAATAGACACATTTTATTTGTTCACAGTAATAAATCATGGCTTATGGGTTACTTAGATTTTGTAATATAGATACCATGCTTTTTCAGCATCTTTTAATGATTTTGTATGTAGCTCATATATAGTTTTCATGCAAGATACAAGAATCTTTATTTAACATGTACATCACAAATGAATAATATCGACCATAAGCTCTGGAGTGTTATCATTATATGACCTTTATGTTCGCAGCTGTACACAGAAGCCATAAGTGTGGAGCCTGACAAAGATGAGGCCTACTCTCATAGAGCACAAGCCTATATCAAGTTAGAACAATTCAAGGGTGAGTATGAGAGATCTATTGGGGCGCAAATTACATAGGTGCACAAATTACATGGGAAGATAACTCTGCAATACGCAAAGACGGGATTGCAAGGAGGCAATTATACCAACATATACTGCCTCTAGCACATATACACACATGCATTACACACATTGAGACACATCTTCAAATGACTTTAGCTGTTGATAAGACGCTAAACCCTATAAAACCATTGTCTTAGTCATTGATATCTATCTTTTGTAGACGCAGAACGAGACTCCGGAAAAGCCATTGAATTAAATCCAAAAAACAGTAGAGCCTTTTTCAGGAAAGGGTAAGTTCTGAAGAAAAAATACTACATTGATATATTTCTAAAGCTTATTTGACAGAAGAGCAAACAAAAAATAGTTATTAATTTTCCATGTGGAAACTAACTTGTGATTCCACTACAGTAACGTTTATGTAAGATATATAAATAATTGTATAAAGGATGAATTACACTTTCTAATTGAATGTTACATCTATAATGACATTAGATCATTCTTATTTTATGTAACAAATAGCAATTAGTAATAATCATACAATTTTAAATAGCACCGAGAAATTTCTTCTGAAGAATAAAAAATTCCACTAGCAAATTCAATATAAGTAATTTTTGAAAGTGTCTTATATTATAAAACTTTTTTTGGCCGAATACTACATAAAATTACATTTCCTATTTTTATACATGTGTGGTAGGGCACTCTCTATCCCTTTATAAACCTCAATTAAATTAAAAGGTATGTATAACTAGAATGTTAAATTTTATTTCCTTTTTAGCTCACCTGGTCCGAAGGACCATGGTGAGCTTATGCCATACCGCCAGTCCGTCGTCTGTTGTCCATCAACTTTTCCTTTAAAATTCTACTAGTCCTGATCATGAACGGCTAAGTAGATTTTGACTAAATTTGGTCTGGAGCATCCTTAGGCCGAGGAGACTCAATTTTGTATAAACAGTGTGTGTGGCCCCCCTGAGGGCAGAGAGGCGTTGCCAAACAATGGAAATAGAGGTAAAACTTTTAAAATCGTTCTTCTACCGTAGGGATTAAGGGATTTTATCCAAAATTAGTCTGGAGCATCCTTGGGCCAAGGGGACACAGTTTTGTATAAATGGTGGGTGTGGACCCTCTGGGGGCAGAGTGACGGGGCAAAATAGGGTAAATAGAAGTTAAACCTTTAAAATCCATCTTTTAATGTAGGGATAAGGGGATTTTATCCTTATTTAGTCTGGAGCATCCTTGGGCCAAGGAGATTCAATTTTGTATAAACAGTGGGTGTGGCCCCCTTGGGGGCAGAGGGACGGGGCCAAATAATGGAAATAGAGGTAAAACCTTCAAAATCCTTCTTCTATCGAAGGGATTAAAGGATTTTATCCTTATTTAGTCTGGAGCATACTTGGGCAAAGGGGACTCAGTTTTGTATAAACGGTGAGTGTGGCCCCTTGGTGCAGATCTAGAGGGGCGGGGCCGAATAGGGGAAATAGAGGTGAAACCTTTAAAATCCTTCTTTTACCATAGAGATTTAAGTATTTTATGCTAAATTAGTCTGGAGCATCCTTGCATCTTGGTGTCACCCCCCTGGGGCAGAGGGGTGGGACGGGGCCCAATAGGGGAAACAAAGCAAATTCTTCAAAATCCTTGTCCTTCTGTAGGAATGACAGGATTTTGTCCAAATTTGGTATGAAGCATCCTTCGGTGAAGGGGAACCAATTTTTTATAAACGGTGTGTCTGATCCCCCTGGGACAGAGAGGCAGGACCAAATAAGGAATATAGAGGAATAGCTTTAATATCCTTTTTTCTTCTGTTAGGATGAAGGTATTTTGACCAAATTTGAACAGTAGCATCCTATGCGGAAGGGAAATCAATTTTGTGTTAATGGTGTGTCTGACCCCCCTGGGGCATGAGAGGTGGGGCCCAATAGAGGTAATTTAGCAAATTCTTGAAAATTCTTCTGTATTTGTCCATATTTGGTCTAAAGCATCATTGGGTAAACACTACCTGGTTTTGTATCAAAGGTGGGTCTGACCCCCCCTTGGGGCAGAGGGGCGGGGCCCAATAGGGGAAATATAGCAAATTCTTCAAAATCCTTCTTTTCCTGTATGAATGACAGGATTTTGTCCAATTGCATATAAATATAACCCCTGACTAACCATGTAATACATGTACACTACCAGCAACATCTAGCTATTCCAACTTCAATTTTACTAACATTTCCAGGTGAGCAATACAGGCCCTCTGGGCCTCTTGTTTAACTTTTGTTATCATAAATACCTTGTTAAAAGAAGTATATGCTGCTCTTAACTTTGATTATTATAAATTGTACAGGACTGCTTTATTCCATCAGGAGAAGTATGCTGCTGCAAAGGAATGTCTTCAAATTGGTTTATCATTAAACAGTGAGTAGCTTTTTGTTTACCAAAGATAATATGGTACTGAATGTTTGATCATACTCAGTTTTATCCTACTCGGTACAAAGTAAGACAGAATATATACCAGTGCCTTGGTTAGTTTGTTAGTGCCTAGGTACGTTTGTATGTTGATGTGTATGACCATTAACATGTTGACCCATAAGTTCTGATCTCCTGAATATTTCATAATGTGAGACATCATAGATTTGAAGATCATAACTAGGCAACTTGTTGCATAAAACTCTCCGGGACCTATCATAAGGTCAAGGCCATGGCAAAGGGTCAGAACTCAAGTGATGGTTGCCATTGTCTGGGTGTTTACTTTTGAGCTCCTTAAGATTTCATGATGAACTAATATAATTGGATGTTACACCAGACAATATGTAGGAGTCAAAATCTGAGGTTTTAGTCTGAAGGTCAAGGTCATGATGAAGAGTCAAAAGGTCAAGTAATGCCTGTACAAAAAAAATACTATAAATTCTGAATTTCTGATTATGTCACGTAAGACATTCATGTCTCTACATCAACTGTCAAGATCATAGTAATGGATGGTGATTCCTGAACAGAAACATTATTTAATACTCCCTAATAGTTGTTAAAAATGTAATACAAATGATAATTTTTTATTTAATTATAGATATCAAATTTATAGATTCAACTCAATTACAATATATTTAATGCTGGTTCTGGAGATATATAATGTAGTGTCATCAAAATGTTAGCACTTGGGCATGGGGTGGATAAAATTGAACCAAGCCTAAAGTTTATTCTTGTTTCAGATGTGGACAGTAGTATGAAAACACTTCTACAAAAATGTGAAGCAGAAATAGACTGTGAGTCCCTTTTTAAAACAACTCTGAGCAGCTTTTTGTAATTAATTACTTAAACACTTAAGGAAACGACATGAGAATTATATTAAGCTTAATATATTTTAACAATAGAATTTGATAAAAACATGATTTGATATATTTTTGTTCAAATTTTGTGTTATGAAAGTTATTGTGGTTTATGAAAACTGATGTACATTTGAATTAGTTTCTGAGTTTAGCCATTTAGAATATACATGAACTATATATATGTACTGTAAACTTCAAACTTTCTTTCCTGGCATATTTTTAGTGTGCATGTCAGAACAATCCCAGGGATCATCAAAGGTAAAGATCAATTTGTTTTATCAAATTTCACAAACCATGAATCGACATATTCGTTGTCAGAGTTGCATTTATTTGGTTTAAATTTGAAAACCGTTTTACTACTTTTATCACATAACTGACCCATTTTACTATGTCATTTGGTCATGTCATAAATATGGTATTACACACGTGTTATAAAACCTAAAGGTGCTGCGATTGGTCTAAACCGTGGGAACATATTCCTACACCACTACAAATTTTGAACTTTATTAACTGATATTTTTATGATAAAGTATAATGGTTTTGCTATTTAAAAATATATTGTTTTATTATGTTTTATTTTATCATATATTCATAATTGGAAATATCTATTTTGTCATTATTATTTTCATTACATTTAAAACTGTTCATTATTTAAAAATATAATCTGGAACTACTTTGCACTGCACAGAAAGACAATAGTATAACGGGAGTAATTTGTTTTTGACCTTTAAAGAATTGTGTTTGAAGTTACTTTTAAAATTATGAATGTTATGTGATAAATAGAATCTTACATCCATGTCCATGTCATATTGAATTTATTAAACTTGTTCAATAATTTGGTATGACACTCGCCTAATTTTTCATTTTTTAGTTAAGAATCCTATACAATTTACTTTCTATTTCTATGACAAACCCCAAACATATATTCACCTGGCAAATGTGTACATTAGTATGTTTGATATTTTATTTAATTGTTTCTGCAGATTTCTATTGGCACTTCATCTGTCAGCCCATCCACAGAACTTGGTGTCAATAAAGCAGCTCCAAAGGATGAGGCTGGTCCAACTGTAACATCGTCCTCCAACTCATCTTCCGCCATCACCATGCCAACAGGACCGCGGACAAGGTAGTAAATTCTGTGTCACGTGTAACTTTAAAAAGTTCACAATGTTAAAGTGGAGAGACCTATAGGCGATGGTATTGATGACTTTAGATTTAGTTCACCTGGTCTGAAGGGCCAGGTGTGCTGGTGCTGTGGTTCACTCCTCATTGTCCATTCAACAGCTGATCAGATATACATTTGGCCTGCAGCATCATTTGACCGATGGGACTCAATGTTGTGTAGACAAAGGGTATTGCCTCTTTGGGAGGGAAGAGGTGAGGTCCAGAAATAGAAATAAATCTTATAAAAGACTACAAAGTACATCTAAATTATCATAAGGGCAAGTGGACTTGGTGTCGTACAAACCCTTCCATTTGTGGATTTCAGGCAGGGCCCGATACAGAAATAGGATTGGCGTTTTCAAAGATTACTCCCTCAGTAAGGGTTAAGAGATTTAAGTCTGAAGCATCATTTGGCCAAGGAGACTTGATGTTGTATAAAGAAAGGGCCCTTGATTTGCTGAGACATTTTCTGCTTTTTCTCAATTTTCATCAGACTGATTTTGAAGATCATGTCCATTGCCAAGTATTATCATTTTTTTCACTAATTCACAATCCCTGATGGCCATCTATCCTCTGATATTTTTATCTCCCGCTTTCACCAAACCGGGGGATACATGTATTAATTTTGGTTTGTCCGTCTGTCCCTCTGTCTGTCAGGCTTCGTTTTCGTGCAATGACTGCAAAAAATGTTAACCGATTTTCTTCAAACTTGGTAACAGGGTTAAATGCCTTAAGGGCTCAGCCGAATTCGATGACCACTTTCAGCAGACTTTATTTGGCGGAGTTATGGCCCTTTGAATAACGAAAAAAACATCATTATCTGCCATTTCCGTGCAATAACTGCAACAAATGTTAACCGATTTTCTCTTAACTTGGTACCAGAGTTAAATGCTTAAACTTAAGGGCTCGACCAAGTAAGATGACCACTTTCAGCAGACTTTAATTGGCGGAGTTATGGCCCCTTAAATAATGAAAAACATCATTATCTGCCGTTTCTGTTCATTAACTCTCGCAAATATTAACCGATTTTGTTCAAACTTAGTAACAGGGTTCAACGCATTAAGTGCTCGGCCAGGTTTGACAACATCATTATCTGCAAATATTTGCCAAATTCCTTCAAACTTGACAACAATGTTTGTGTTCCTCTGTGTTTCCACCCATCTCGAGCACTCTTTGGTTTTCGTGTGATACTTGCTGTAGTTATTGTGCAGATATTTCAACCAAATTCTGTATGCACATCGGACTCATGCTAAGTTTGCCAACTGATGTGATTTGTGGATATTTACGGATAATTAATGAGGTTAGAAAATTCTGATGGATTAAACACTTAATTTACACCGAAATACCTACTATGTTCAATAAAAAGTCTAACTTCTGTATAAGGCTTTTTTTTTTCTTCGAGTTTCAAGCTTTACATTATGTCTCAACAGCAAGATACTCGCATGTTTAAACCTAACCTCAATAACATTTACCTACAATATGTCTTGCAAGCGGGGGATATAAATTCCACAAATTTGCTTGTTGAATTACAGTTGAACCTCGTTATCTGGAACTCTTATAACTCGAAGACCCTGTTTATCTGGAAGTATTTTTCCGGGCCCAGGCAAATCTCTTCTTTATCTTAGTAAATATAACTCTGACAATTCAAACCCTGAAAACTCGAAAAACTCAGATACCTCGAAGTAAGATATTGGTTTCTACAGCGTAAATCCAACACCAAAACATTGTCTAATTCATAGTGTCACTTATCAGTTCTTTGATACAAATAAAATGTAAAACTACAGTATTTTGCCATTTCGTGTTTATGAATGTCTTTTGTGAGTAGACCAGCATGAAATCGGTAAAAATAATTTACAATAAAGCTTTAGACTGTTAAGTGTGCAGACTGTAAAAAAACATATAGTTCATAATAAAAAACAAACTTTGTCGATGTTGATCAACAGTATTCTGTACTAACTGCGAGTCCGCTTAATGATTTGGTCACAAAGCGTGGTCATGAATAAAAGAGTTCCACAGTAAAAATCACAACCTAGGACAGCTTCATTGGTTCATGTTTTTACAGGAGTCAGTATGGCTTTGAAAGTCGATCGAGAGATTTTAGGAATAATACGATAACTACTGTTGATTACATCGAGTTGAGGTGTCAGGTGTCACGTTTGCCTTTAATGAATCAATGTGTTACATGTACGATAGAATCTGTTTGTGTGTGTTTTAATTTAAAGAACCAACTATGTGTACGCTCCATTACAGTGATTTGTTTTAGACTTGCGCACTTTCATTTCCGCATTGTATAGTATGAAGAGACAGCGGGATTGTTCGATTTTTAAATGTAACACGTCAGAGGTAAAACTTGACAGACTTGCAAATACAAATGCAGACCTGGAAAGACTTTGCCAAGATTAGCCAAAAATAATATTTAATCACTAGGCACGTACATATTCCATAACAAATTCACAATATGATCCAACCTTTTTCGATCTCATTAAACGGAAAGTTTTTTTTTTTCGGGAATAACTTCTCTATTTTTGTAAGCATGTTTGTTGTAAAATAACATACCTGTATTTGTCCTATTGATTACGTATATCATCCATCAATTGATTATAAGCATTGGCTATTAGTACAAATGAACGACTGCTAGTGCTATGCCCAAACAGAAAATGTCATGCCAAATATATGAACCCGCATAACTGGAATACTCGGATAAATATATCAAAGTTTTCCCACGACCCCGTCGACTTCGAGTCAAGGAGGTTCGACTGTAATTTCCAATGGGTTAATAAATAGAAACCAAACTTGATCTTGATAATGCTCTCATAGTTCTTAACAAGAGTTAATATCTTTTGGGTTGATTCATAATCCCAAATAGCCACTCTGTCCTCTGATTAGCTGTTCAGAAAAAAATTTATCACCAATTCTCACTTCCACTAGATCAGTTTGAAAACTGTTTAAAGGCTTTTGTCTTTGTCTTTGTCTTTAGCATGTGCTTTAGATTTCTTAAGGTCAGTTAGAAATTAGTATGTTTGTTGTTTTGAAGGTATGACTGGTATCAGACTGAAACTATGGTGATAATCACAGTCATGATAAAGAAAGTTCAGAAGGAAGATTGTCACATAGACATCAACGAACAATCAGTAAGTATCAACAGACAGAAAACCACGTACTAGGGGCATTGTTACAGACAGGTTAAATCATTTACCCCACATAGACCTCAACGAACAATCAGTAAGTAACAACAGACAGAAAACCACGTACTAGGGGCATTGTTACAGACAGGTTCAATCATTTACCCCACATAGACATCAACAAACAATCAGTAAGTAACAACAGACAGAAAACCACGTACTAGGGGCATTGTTACAGACAGGTTCAATCATTTACCCCACATAGACATCAACAAACAATCAGTAAGTAACAACAGACAGAAAACCACGTACTAGGGGCATTGTTACAGACAGGTTCAATCATTTACCCCACATAGACATCAACAAACAATCAGTAAGTAACAACAGACAGAAAACCACGTACTAGGGGCATTGTTACAGACAGGTTCAATCATTTACCCCACATAGACATCAACAAACAATCAGTAAGTAACAACAGACAGAAAACCACGTACTAGGGGCATTGTTACAGACAGGTTCAATCATTTACCCCACATAGACATCAACAAACAATCAGTAAGTAACAACAGACAGAAAACCACGTACTAGGGGCATTGTTACAGACAGGTTCAATCATTTACCCCACATAGACATCAACAAACAATCAGTAAGTAACAACAGACAGAAAACCACGTACTAGGGGCATTGTTACAGACAGGTTCAATCATTTACCCCACATAGACATCAACAAACAATCAGTAAGTAACAACAGACAGAAAACCACGTACTAGGGGCATTGTTACAGACAGGTTCAATCATTTACCCCACATAGACATCAACAAACAATCAGTAAGTAACAACAGACAGAAAACCACGTACTAGGGGCATTGTTACAGACAGGTTCAATCATTTACCCCACATAGACATCAACAAACAATCAGTAAGTAACAACAGACAGAAAACCACGTACTAGGGGCATTGTTACAGACAGGTTCAATCATTTACCCCACATAGACATCAACAAACAATCAGTAAGTAACAACAGACAGAAAACCACGTACTAGGGGCATTGTTACAGACAGGTTCAATCATTTACCCCACATAGACATCAACAAACAATCAGTAAGTAACAACAGACAGAAAACCACGTACTAGGGGCATTGTTACAGACAGGTTCAATCATTTACCCCACATAGACATCAACAAACAATCAGTAAGTAACAACAGACAGAAAACCACGTACTAGGGGCATTGTTACAGACAGGTTCAATCATTTACCCCACATAGACATCAACAAACAATCAGTAAGTAACAACAGACAGAAAACCACGTACTAGGGGCATTGTTACAGACAGGTTCAATCATTTACCCCACATAGACATCAACAAACAATCAGTAAGTAACAACAGACAGAAAACCACGTACTAGGGGCATTGTTACAGACAGGTTCAATCATTTACCCCACATAGACATCAACAAACAATCAGTAAGTAACAACAGACAGAAAACCACGTACTAGGGGCATTGTTACAGACAGGTTCAATCATTTACCCCACATAGACATCAACAAACAATCAGTAAGTAACAACAGACAGAAAACCACGTACTAGGGGCATTGTTACAGACAGGTTCAATCATTTACCCCACATAGACATCAACAAACAATCAGTAAGTAACAACAGACAGAAAACCACGTACTAGGGGCATTGTTACAGACAGGTTCAATCATTTACCCCACATAGACATCAACAAACAATCAGTAAGTAACAACAGACAGAAAACCACGTACTAGGGGCATTGTTACAGACAGGTTCAATCATTTACCCCACATAGACATCAACAAACAATCAGTAAGTAACAACAGACAGAAAACCACGTACTAGGGGCATTGTTACAGACAGGTTCAATCATTTACCCCACATAGACATCAACAAACAATCAGTAAGTAACAACAGACAGAAAACCACGTACTAGGGGCATTGTTACAGACAGGTTCAATCATTTACCCCACATAGACATCAACAAACAATCAGTAAGTAACAACAGACAGAAAACCACGTACTAGGGGCATTGTTACAGACAGGTTCAATCATTTACCCCACATAGACATCAACAAACAATCAGTAAGTAACAACAGACAGAAAACCACGTACTAGGGGCATTGTTACAGACAGGTTCAATCATTTACCCCACATAGACATCAACAAACAATCAGTAAGTAACAACAGACAGAAAACCACGTACTAGGGGCATTGTTACAGACAGGTTCAATCATTTACCCCACATAGACATCAACAAACAATCAGTAAGTAACAACAGACAGAAAACCACGTACTAGGGGCATTGTTACAGACAGGTTCAATCATTTACCCCACATAGACATCAACAAACAATCAGTAAGTAACAACAGACAGAAAACCACGTACTAGGGGCATTGTTACAGACAGGTTCAATCATTTACCCCACATAGACATCAACAAACAATCAGTAAGTAACAACAGACAGAAAACCACGTACTAGGGGCATTGTTACAGACAGGTTCAATCATTTACCCCACATAGACATCAACAAACAATCAGTAAGTAACAACAGACAGAAAACCACGTACTAGGGGCATTGTTACAGACAGGTTCAATCATTTACCCCACATAGACATCAACAAACAATCAGTAAGTAACAACAGACAGAAAACCACGTACTAGGGGCATTGTTACAGACAGGTTCAATCATTTACCCCACATAGACATCAACAAACAATCAGTAAGTAACAACAGACAGAAAACCACGTACTAGGGGCATTGTTACAGACAGGTTCAATCATTTACCCCACATAGACATCAACAAACAATCAGTAAGTAACAACAGACAGAAAACCACGTACTAGGGGCATTGTTACAGACAGGTTCAATCATTTACCCCACATAGACCTCAACAAACAATCAGTAAGTAACAACAGACAGAAAACCACGTACTAGGGGCATTGTTACAGACAGGTTAAATCATTTACCCCACATAGACATCAACGAACAATCAGTAAGTAACAACAGACAGAAAACCACGTACTAGGGGCATTGTTAAAGTCAGGTTCAATCATTTACCCCACATAGACATCAACAAACAATCAGTAAGTAACAACAGATAGAAAACCACGTACTAGGGGCATTGTTACAGACAGGTTAAATCATTTACCCCACATAGACATCAACGAACAATCAGTAAGTATCAACAGACAGAAAACCACGTACTAGGGGCATTGTTAAAGTCAGGTTCAATCATTTACCCCACATAGACATCAACGAACAATCGGTAAGTAACAACAGACAGAAAACCAAAAACTAGGGGTATTTTAAACGACAGGAAATGCATTAAGGGGTTAAACCGTGGGTAATTCAGTATAATACATTAATCCCTTTTACTGGTATGTTTTATTTAGTTAAAGGTAGATTATTTTTATAGACATATGTAAATTATAGATACCAGATAAAGGTGAATCATATTGATAGTCTAAACTATACAGTTAAAGGTAAAGTAGATTTGTAGATACAGGTAGATTGCATATATTGAAGTGATTTTTTTGTATTTACAGGTGAGTGTATGTATTAAATTACCCACAGGAACTGACTACACACTGGAACTGGACCTGGCCCACAAAGTCCTACCAGAAAAGTCCATGTACAAAATAATGTCTACCAAGGTAAAGCACTAGTCATGTAGTCAGATCTGTACTACCTGATCAGCCAAGGGAAAACTCAGAACTGTTTGTTTGATAAAAGTGGTTTATAATAAATCATGACCAAAGAAATGACCCCATATGCAGCAAACCATAAGATGACCATCACCCCAGGTCACTTAAACTAGGTAGTTTGAAACAGTAGTGTTCAAAATATCGGCTGAATGAGTATCTCCGTGCAGAGAGCGCAAGTGAGAGTATCCGCTTGAGGATTCTGAATCGGTGAACAACGGTCAAGTGATGATTATATGAGAAAATTGTCAATTCTGTGTTACTTATGATAAATCAGCAGAGACTTACTGAAGTGCTCAAAATACACAACTGTGTTTTATCTAGGTTGAATTATAATTGAAATAATGGTGTTTCCTGTCTTGGTCCAACATATGTTTATTTTTAGCCCACCATCATCGGATGGTGGGATATTCAAATCACCCTGTGTCCGTGGTCCGTCCTTAAACAATTCTTGTTATCGGTATTTCTCAAGAAGTGCCAGAGTGATCTTTCTCAAATTTTATATGCAGGTTCCCCTTGGTCCTAAACTGTGCATGTCGACTTTTGAGACTGATTGGATAAACAACATGGCCGACAAGCAGCCATCTTGGATTTTGATAGTGAAAGTTTGTTATCGCTATTTCTCGGGAAGTACGGGAGGGATCTTTCTCAAATTTTATATGTAGGTTCCCCTTGGTCCTAGCTGTGCAGGGCAATTTTAGAGACTGATTGGATAAACAACATGGCCGACAAGCAGCCATCTTGGATTTTGATATTGAAAGTTTGTTATTGCTATTTCTCGGGAAGTACGAGAGGGATCTTTCTCAAATTTTATATGTAGGTTCCCCTTGGTCCTAGCTGTGCAGGGCAATTTTAGAGACTGATTGGATAAACAACATGGCCGACAAGCAGCCATCTTGGATTTTGATATTGAAAGTTTGTTATTGCTATTTCTCGGGAAGTACGAGAGGGATCTTTCTCAAATTTTATATGTAGGTTCCCCTTGGTCCTAGCTGTGCAGGGCAATTTTAGAGACTGATTGGATAAACAACATGGCCGACAAGCAGCCATCTTGGATTTTGATATTGAAAGTTTGTTATTGCTATTTCTCGGGAAGTACNTTGGCTTCCATACACATCAGTATTAAGTTTAGATCGAAAGTTACCTCAAGGTGCATTTACTGTTAACATGACTCAATCAATTGCAAACAGATTAGAGGAAAGAAGAGAAAAGATCGAACTGACAAAGAACTAATAAAGATGGTACAAAGGTGGGCGCCAAGATCCCTCTGGGATCTCTTGTTTGCTTTTGTGGAGATTCCAGAGAGTCTAGTTAAAATTTGATTGAATAAAGCTGACATTGTGTGACTGAAAATTGGACCAGTATTATTGTTACTTATACATGTTGTGAAGTTCAGAGTGTACTTGCTATATTAACATTTGATGTTCATCAGTTTTTGTGTTAAGATAAACATGCTTAGTGTGTAATGTGTTGATATTCGTCATTATTTACATAAGGAACAGCTGTCATGAACATCTCAAAAAAGCATTTATTTATGTGAAGCCACGCATATATTGCTATGAAAATTATATTCTGCTGGTTAAAAGGTATTTTGGATGTTGTGAAAAAGTTGATAGATCTTTAAAAGCTGAAGTGTGATGTTTCATGCCTCAACAGTTAGATCATGTTTCTTTTTATCTTATCTTTTAACTTATAAGCATACATTGTACATGTAGTTAAGACAAATCCTATTTTAAAAAGATTGAGCTATATTTTTGCTCTTCATTGCTATTGAGGAAAGCATTTAAACAGGATTACATCCTTGACTAAATGAAGCTTTGGTATGTTTTGATTGACTGAAATTTTAAAAATATTTCACTTTACCAGTGTCTGTTCTTGACTTTTGTTAGGTTGAAATCAAACTAAAGAAGGCGGAAGGAGTACGCTGGACCATGCTTGAGGACGACGGCACGACATCTGTCATCAAACAGGCTACAGTGCCAATGGACACACGTAAGTTTGTAAGGAAGGTCAACTACTACAACAGCATCATCTCACAATGGACAACTGTGTACACAATAGATTCCTCTCAGTGTTATATTAGCAACAGCACTGTCTTACAGAACGTGCAGTTATACATCAACATCTTTCAGTTGTAGTAGGAGCGGGATTAAAACGGTCAGACTGGGGTTCAAACACAGGACCCTCCGAACTCACCCGGAAGACACATGCAACCCTAAACCACCTTCCGTGCTTACCCCACTTACTCTAACTCGCTTTACTCAAATGCCCCCTGTTCCTCGAATAGTTCATTTGGTCCCGTCCGTGTATTTTCAGGGTTTTTTTAGTGAACAAAAAATATAATTTAGTTCAAATCTGGTTTCATTCATAAAAGATACTATATTTAGTGAGCAGGACAAAGCGTCTCATTATAGTAGCTGTGTACCATTGCATTAATCATCTTAACAACCATGGGATATTGGAATTAATGTCATTAAAGGAAAGATTCTGGAGAAATGGTTTCATAAAGATGTCCTGAAAATGCTCTTACTCTATGAGATGAAAAGGTTTTTGGGTACTTTCCGTTGTGGTTTGAAGCTATTCAGCAACATCAAGGCATACAAATGTTCACATTTAGTTGTGAAGTAAGTTTCTGTTCCTGTATATTGACTGACAGGGTGGACATTGTGATGCTTATCATATCATAGAGATCTTGTTATGTAAATGATAAGGGTGTTAATAACGTAAGGTGTAAACCTTTGATAATCCTTTGTCATACAGCTCTGATTGGGTGACATATTTTGATTGTCATTAATTCTTTTAAAATATATATTGATTTTTCTTGGAAATTACGATAATGTCTGTCAGGGAGGTACAATCAAATATCAGAATTAGCTTGCGGAATCAACTTTAATTCATAAGGAAACAAATTACAGAACGGTGGGTATCATTGGCTCGTTTTTAGAAAATGAAAGTATTCTCAATTTTATCGGCTAACATCACAGGCATCATATTGTTGTTGTTATTCCTTTGTCATGATGTTGAGCAGAACACCTTCATATATCAAATATCACAAAGAAACAATATATGCCGACTACTGTCTTCCATACCTACAGAACCAGAGAGTGACCAGGCCAACAGGTACCCCTCCTCCAGTCATTACACAAGGGACTGGGACAAAGTAGTGACCAACATCACCAAAGAGGAGAAGGACGAAAATCTGGAGGGGGATGCAGCACTCAATAATCTTTTCCAGAAAATATATGGAGATGGTTCAGATGAAACGAAAAAAGCTATGATGAAATCCTTTGTGAGTAATTTTTTTTTTTTTTTTTTTTTTAAGATATAATATTCAGGCAGTTGAAATCTTCATCACTTTTTTGAAATGATTTATATATTCATGCTGTCCTAAAATGAAATGTATCAGTGTTAGGGTTTTCTGAAATTAAAGTATTTGGCTTCAGGGTAAAATCAACTGGTTCCAGATACAGGATATCAAACCTGTTGATCAGTGTATTCCTATAGCTTTCCTTAATTAGTGAAGTAAACATGAACATTAGTTGCATAACATACAGTAGTGGGACCCAGAAACATTCCCCCTGTTAACATTCACTTATCACTAAAATCATTCATTGAAAAATACTGCAATTTATTATTATGAAAATTGAATATTTTAGAGCATCAAAGGCATTTATTTATATGTTTAATTGGGCAATGCATAATTAAAGTTAGACTCCCCACATACCAAGTTCAAGAGGGGTATACAAAAATCACCATGTTCTTCAGTGGTTTTTTGTAAGTGTTTTTCCAGAATTAACCATGACCCTTTTACAGAGATGCTACCACCTATATTATTTTAAAAGTGACTCAATATTAGGAGATGGGCAGATTCAGTTTTAACCCAACCACCCTTAAAAACACAGGTGTCTGCCACCTCCCCATACAATAATTTACGGAACAGCCCTTAATATTTTTGGTATTTTGTTGACATTCTTAACCAGCTTTAATTTATATAATACAGTTCTTTTGATATGTGTACTACTGATAATAACAAACCAACTATCTAGTCCCAAGAGTTCAAATGTCATCACTGACACTGTCTGGGTAAGAACATCAACTTACATAGCAGTGACTTGATAAACTTACATATATATATACCTAATATTCCTGCTAAGTGAACCTTTTCAGTGAAAATTATAACCGTTTGTGAGGTCCACACTAAATAGAACATGATGTACAGAGTGGGTTACTGTAGATACATAATTTTATAGGTATGTTTTGCTGATGAGCTCGTTAGATTACCATCTGTCAATGTCTTTGCTGATGAGCATGAAAGATGAACCTCTCTGTGATCGTCTATTTATCATTACAGTACGAGTCTGGAGGAACAGTGTTGAGTACAAACTGGAAGGAGGTGGGTGAAGATAAGGTGGAAGTTAAACCTCCTGATGGGATGGAATACAAAACGTGGGAGACATAATTCAATATACCAATCACCCATCATCCACAGGCTGCTACTACCCATATTCCACACTTGTTTACAATGACAGATGAGGCAGTGGTGACTCAATTCACAATCAACAATTTACTGGTCGATACATGGCATGTCATGGAAGAAGAGTTTTTATGATCCACTATATTTCAACATACTTTGTTCTCTCGTGGTAGAGAATAGGACTGATCACTTTTTTTGTGATAATATTTGTACATCATTAAAGCTGCATAATATTTTTTTGGAAATTGATGTTACTTTGCAGCATGGTGATATGGCGACCAAATAAATGTTTTGGAAAAAAGAAAAAAAAGAAAATATTTGTTGACAATTTTTTTTCACGGCTTAATAAGAAAATGTTTTCTGCCTTTGTCAGTCAAAAACATGTATAAACTTGGCAACAAGTTCGCTAATTTACACACTATGACAAAGTTGTGAGTTTATACATAAATATGAAAACATGAACTATAAAAATCTCCGAAGTCAAAAATATTAAAAAGAAAATGAATCATTTTTTGAAAACTCTGCAGGAAAACCACATTTGATTTCAATTGGCTGTGTAGAGTTACTCTAATACAGCTGCTTTGTAAAACATATACATGTATTGATTTATGAGATGATTTTTCTGAAAAATGTCAAGCCATATTTTACAGTTTTTGCACTTCAACCCCCAAGTATTTTGATGTTTTCTACTCCACTACAAAATGTTTTATTTATGACTTTACCAACATTGAAATAAATTCAGCTCATTGAAACAGTACTTTCATGTGGTCTTTTTTATTATCATATTCGATTGATAATTCCAGTGGGAAGTCTTTCACAAATGGTCAAATATCTACACTGTTGTATTTTCAGATCACAATAGGTATCTTTCTGTCTTGTCATTACCTTTGTATATCTACATCTTTATGAAACTCTTGACTGTGTATCAATTATAAATATAGCATATACACAGTGAAAGGAAGTTTGGCGGATTGATTCATATTTCAAATATGGTGCGGGACTACTTAGGTTTACTTCACGGTTCAGCGAGATAACAGTCTGATGACAGCCATTGCCTGGCTCCTTCAACATCTGGAAACATGGAATATATTAGGGATCCATCGTGTGTAATTATATACAGACTTATATTATAAATATGCTATGTAGCGTTTCCTCTTGGAACCCCGCGACAATGTCGCAGGGCGGGGCGCTATATGTATATATATATAAGTCGGGATGGAAGTCGACTACGGTAGGGATAACTCAAAGTGTATCAAGTTCACATAATTTTATTTACACATCCATACAGGCCTCGGACCACAATAACACTTCCGGGTCGTTGTACACGAATGTAGTGCATAAGGACATTTCAGGTGGGTTACTAAATATTTTTTCCTGTCTGAATTATGACAGATATGTACAGGTTTTTTACATAGAATTGTTCAACAATATCTATTCTAGTGATTTAATTTTTATTTGACACAGTTTCCAAGTTTGTCTTGGCAGCAGGACACAATGAGTGATGAGGCTTGGGCAGTGATATTTTGTGATTTTTAGTATTTTCCCCTTTACATGCAGGGTAGTGACATTCAAATAAAATTATCTTTCTTAAATGCCGGTCATGAGGTACTTTCCAGATCACCGTACGTTCAGTTTGAATAGATCTACAATATGAAATAGGAACCAGGCCCTGTGCAAAGTTTTAAAATATTTTAATAATTTATTTCCTTTGGTATAACATATAGTAGTTATAGAATTAATTGTGGTCTGAGGCCTGCATAGCAGAGAGTTATGCCTCATCGGAAACTTCCGCTGTAGCCGGCACGTTTGAAGTAGACATTTGACAGACTGGAATATTGAAGTTAAAGGTTTGTACTAGCTGTCAGTGAATGTTTTGAATGAATTGTGGTTTTATAGAACTTATTACATAATAATTCATGTGATTTTAGGTAATTTTATGAGACAAAATAGACAAAATAGGAAGTTTAGATAGGAACTACAACTATCCACGTGTTTATAAACCAGCAGTTACTTTCATTTTGACTAGCTTTTGACATTTGCAACAACTTTCTGGAAAATGGAGAAAAAAAATATTTGACAATGTGTTGTGTCAAGTAATGGCCGATGTGTTATTTGGACAGGACCGGTGACACACAACAGCAAATATGGTGTTGTTAGATACAAGCATCCAGATACCGGTGTATGGAAAACAGTTACAGCACACCGGTTTAGTGTTATAATGCATACGCAAAATTTAAACTTAAGTACGGACTTTGATGCGTCACACCTGTGTCACAACAACCTCTGTGTAGCGATAAGTCATAAGTATGGAACCACACAGTATCAACAACAACAGAATCCACTGTAAACATTTAAATAAGTGCACAGTGCATGGGGAATATCCTGATTGTTTACTGGATTTACATATACAGGTACATTACCTGAAATATATATATACAAATTTAAATTTTACCTATATACAAAGCAATATTGAGCACGGCTCAAGCTCGGCTCATCACATGCATAATGACAAGTTTTTCTTTTTGTTATTTTTCTTTTTATATGTTTTGACAATATTTTTATACTGTAGTAATATTACATTACTTATGAGTTTTTCTACTTATGATAATTGCGCTCATCATTGTTGGAACTCAGTCTACTGGTTCTGAGGTCAGGGGGGTTATCTAGCTGTCCCTTTTTGTAATCAGATCTTGCCCCCTTGTTCTGAATATGTCTCTGAATGGCTTCTGCTTTCAGTTCTAGGGTCCTTTTTTTGAAAGCTGAGCTCTTTTGATACTTTTGGTGGTAATCTTGCTCTGCTTGTATTTGCTGCAGAGAGCGTCTTACCTCAGGTGCTACAGTTGCACCGAGGCACTCTATTTTTGTCATAAGGAAATTTCCCACCCCATTATTACCTGTGTGAACAGCTCTATGGAATCGCGCGTTCATATTTCTGCTAAATAGCACATTTTTCGGTAACCGGCTATTCAGAAGCCTGAAAAAGGCTTCGCATCTTTGGGTATTTGCCCCAAGTGACATTGCTGTGACATATTCATCTGTCAACTTCATTTTCAGTATCTCGAGCATCAGGTGTTTGTCATTTTCATTCATATTCAAGCTGTAAAGCTTGTATTTAGACAGGAATATGGACCTGTTCCACCAAGTACCAGTACTACATACAAATGAGTATCTTTTACATCTAGAACAATCCCCGCTGTAACATCGAAGGGTGGCATCTAAGACCAGGGGCATTTTTTCGCGCATGGTTTTTGTCTCACCGCTACAATCCTTTGTGAGCTCTTTACAGACTAGGCTACACCGAGCTTTTATATCACGGCTTAGCACCTTTTGGGATTCTATCTTTCCTTCTCTTGTTTTCATACCTGGGAACATGTCGGTGCTAAAATGTGCATGCATACATTTTCTAAATTGTGCTTGACCTAAATGGGTTGGATCTGCTAGTCGTTTGACATCCCACATGAGTATAAATGCTTTATAAGCTGCGTCAAGACCTGCTACTGTTCGTGCGTCCCCATCTGATGTCGCATATCGTACAATAAGATCTTGCTGGTACAGCTGCTCACCTACTAGCTTAGCAGCCTCAAATTCTGACAACGGTGTCTCCACCCCTATTGTGGCACTACAGTCTATATGGCCACCAGGACATTTTGCATCAAACCCTTTTCTGCGTAACCATTTACCTTTCCAGCATATTTGTGACTGGACAGCTATCCCTATAATGTAATTTTTGTCAGTGACATCCTCGCGAGCTATAAGTGCTAACTGTGTAGCACTTGTACCAGGTTTATTACGACAGGTTATTGTTGACCTATTGTACCTGCCATCAACTTGAACATTAACCATGTTAGGGTCTGCAGCTCCCCTCAACTCATTTATTTCTCTTACTTCCTGTGCTTTGTTTGCCATATCCTCCTTATTTAATGTTATGATTGTTTCTGCTGCAATATTAGCATTTCTCTGCATACCGCTATGGCACGGGGGAACCAAATTCATAGCATTGAACAAACGCCGTGCCCCTGCTGGCCCCATAGATGTTTCTTGGAGGCTGGCATGCATTGTCAGATTTGGGACAGCAGGGTTTGGGCCCCTTTTAGGGGATTGAATCTCTTTGTACATTTTTTGATTGTTAGACCCCCAACCACATGTTTTGCATGCTACTTTAAATTTACATGTTACTCCTACTTTGACCTCTTTGTGAATGTCAACATCTGGATTGTCACACCTGTGTGACGAGACAATTTGCATAAGATCACCTATTTTCTCAGTATCTATTAGTCTGTTACCCTGATTTTGAACACCAGTATCTAACCTAGACCTTTTTTCCCTATTTTCATGAAGGTGTGATGCAACTTCTATCACTGGTTGTGGTTTCTTGGGCCTAAGGAGCTTGACAATGCCAGGGTTACCTTCAGTGTCAGGAGTGCTAGGAAAGCTACAACCAGGACACGTTACAGTGACTAAGGAATACATATCAGAACTCAGTCTCTTCCAGGTACCTGAGACATTTCCACTTGGAACTTTACTCACCCCATGCCCTGTAGTCTTGGTACCCTCATTATGTGGTGTATTACACTTTGTGAATACATTTTTCCTTCTCCTATACCTCCCCTTCATGGTCCTTTCAGGTCAAATATCCCTATCTTAATAACTGCAATTCTCCAAAACACCTATTTGTACCTAAATTGACTACACACACATATGTTCTGAATATTTACACCACTTGATAAGGATTACAAGCCCACAGGGACAGGATATCTTATCCCTATGCCACACTGGTATTGGCCATTTGAGAGGTGGCACTTGCTTACCTTGCTATGTTTGACAAGTATTTACTAAATAATTAGTAGGGCTATAAAGTTACAATTACATTCATTTTGTAGGGGAGAAGTCCCCCTATACAGTGGTATAAGGTTAGACAGGCTGTGATGTCATATAGAAAAGTTATATCATTAATAATGTGTAATTTTTACTTGAAAATTGTGATTTTTGAAATTTCATAATTTAAAGTCCATTAAACTTTACTTCTTTAGAAATTTTATAAAATGCATGTAAAATGTGAAAAAGTATTAAATAAGCTTTAATTTGATGTATGCTGTTGATATATTACTTGATTATTACTTGCCCAATAGTCATTTATCTATGAGACCTCTCTGAAATATTCGGTGCAGAATACAGCATTGCTGTGGATTAGGGGTAGGGGAACTAAAAATGAAAGAACTTTTTTATTTTTGGTGTAAATTTCACAATAATTTGCAATAACATTTGTAATTGCATGCCAAATGTAATGATAGAATAAAAAAAATATGTCTCCAAAAATCACCTATATACAGACCTCCGACCACAATAACACTTCCGGGTCGTTGTACACGAATGTAGTGCATAAGGACATTTCAGGTGGGTTACTAAATATTTTTTCCTGTCTGAATTATGACAGATATGTACAGTTTTTAGCTCACCTGCCCGAAGGGCAAGTGAGCTTATGTTATGGTGCGGCGTCCGTCGTCCGTCCGTCCGTCCATCCGTCCGTCGACCGTCGTCCGTCTGTCCGGCGTCAACTTTTTACTTTAAACAACTTCTTCTCAATAACCAAAAGACCCAGGGTACTGATATTAGGACTGTAGCATGCTGGGATGAAGGGCTACAAAGTTTGTTCAAATGAATTACCTTGACCCACTTTCAAGGTCACTGGGGTCAAACATATTTAAATCTTCAAACAACTTCTTCTCAATAACCGAAAGGCCCAGGGTACTGATATTAGGCCTGTAGCATGCGTGATGAGGCTTGGGCAGTGATATTTTGTGATTTTTAGTATTTTCCCCTTTACATGCAGGGTAGTGACATTCAAATAAAATTATCTTTCTTAAATTTAATATCTTCAAACAACTTCTCCTCATTAACCAAAAGGCCCAGGGTACTTATATTGGGCCTGTAGCATGCTGGGATGAAGGTCTACCAAGTTTTTTAAAATGTATGACCTTGACCAACTTTCAAGGTCACTGGAGTCAGATGTCTTAAAATCTTCAAACAACTTCCTTTCAATAACCAAAAGGGCCAGGGTACTGATATTGGGCCTGTAGCATGCTGGGATTAAGGGCTACCAAGTTTTTTAAAATGTATGACCTTGACCAACTTTCAAGGTCACTGGAGTCAGATGTCTTAAAATCTTCAAACAACTTCCTTTCAATAACCAAAAGGGCCAGGGTACTGATATTGGGCCTGTAGCATGCTGGGATTAAGGGCTACCAAGTTTTTTAAAATGTATGACCTTGACCAACTTTCAAGGTCACTGGAGTCAGATGTCTTAAAATCTTCAAACAACTTCTTCTCATTAACCAAAAGGCACGGGGAACTTATATTGGGCCTGTAGCATGCTGAGATGAAGGGCTACCAAGTTTGTTCAAATACATGACCTTGACCCGCTTTCAAGGTCACTGGAGTCAGATGTCTTAAAATCTTCAAACAACTTCCTTTCAATAACCAAAAGGGCCAGGGTACTGATATTGGGCCTGTAGCATGCTGGGATTAAGGGCTACCAAGTTTTTTAAAATGTATGACCTTGACCAACTTTCAAGGTCACTGGAGTCAGATGTCTTAAAATCTTCAAACAACTTCCTTTCAATAACCAAAAGGGCCAGGGTACTGATATTGGGCCTGTAGCATGCTGGGATTAAGGGCTACCAAGTTTTTTAAAATGTATGACCTTGACCAACTTTCAAGGTCACTGGAGTCAGATGTCTTAAAATCTTCAAACAACTTCCTTTCAATAACCAAAAGGGCCAGGGTACTGATATTGGGCCTGTAGCATGCTGGGATCAAGGGCTACCAAGTTTTTTAAAATGTATGACCTTGACCAACTTTCAAGGTCACTGGAGTCAGATGTCTTAAAATCTTCAAACAACTTCCTTTCAATAACCAAAAGGGCCAGGGTACTGATATTGGGCCTGTAGCATGCTGGGATGAAGGTCTACCAAGTTTTTTAAAATGTATGACCTTGACCAACTTTCAAGGTCACTGGAGTCAGATGTCTTAAAATCTTCAAACAACTTCCTTTCAATAACCAAAAGGGCCAGGGTACTGATATTGGGCCTGTAGCATGCTGGGATGAAGGTCTACCAAGTTTTTTAAAATGTATGACCTTGACCAACTTTCAAGGTCACTGGAGTCAGATGTCTTAAAATCTTCAAACAACTTCCTTTCAATAACCAAAAGGGCCAGGGTACTGATATTGGGCCTGTAGCATGCTGGGATCAAGGGCTACCAAGTTTTTTAAAATGTATGACCTTGACCAACTTTCAAGGTCACTGGAGTCAGATGTCTTAAAATCTTCAAACAACTTCTTTTCAATAACCAAAAGGGCCAGGGTACTGATATTGGGCCTGTAGCATGCTGGGATGAAGGGCTTCCAAGTTTGTTCAAATAAATTACCTTGACCCACTTTCAAGGTCACTGTTGTCAGATGTCTTAATATCTTCAAACAACTTCTTCTCAATAACCAAAAGGCCCAGGGTACTGATATTGGGCCTGTAGCATGCTGGGATGAAGGGCTACCAAGTTTTTTAAAATGTATGACCTTGACCAACTTTCAAGGTCACTGGAGTCAGATGTCTTAATATCTTCAAACGACTTCTCCTCAATAACCAAAAGGCCCATGGTACTGATATTGAACCTGTAGCATGCTGGGATGAAGGTCTACCAAGTTTTTTAAAATGTATGACCTTGACCAACTTTCAAGGGCACTGGAGTCAGATGACTTAATATCTTCAAACGACTTCTCCTCAATAACCAAAAGGCCCATGGTACTGATATTGGGCCTGTAGCATGCTGGGATGAAGGTTTACCAAGTTTGTTCAAATGAATTACCTTGATCCACTTTCAACCTGATGTCCTTGTTCGACATTCATGGTCACAGGCGTCGTATGTTTAAATCTTTTAATAGGTTCTTATGAATCAAACACTGATATTTTGCCTGTAGCTGTATTTTAGTCCACTTTTAAGATTACAAGTGTGAGATTAATACCAGGTGAGCGATGCAGGCCCATTGGGCCTCTTGTTTTACATAGAATTGTTCAACAATATCTATTCTAGTGATTAATTTTTATTTGACACAGTTTCCAAGTTTGTCTTGGCAGCAGGACACAAGGAGTGATGAGGCTTGGGCAGTGATATTTTGTGATTTTTAGTATTTTCCCCTTTACATGCAGGGTAGTGACATTCAAATAAAATTATCTTTCTTAAATGCCGGTCATGAGGTACTTTCCAGCTCACCGTACGTTCAGTTTGAATAGATCTACAATATGAAATAGGAACCAGGCCCTGTGCAAAGTTTTAAAATATTTTAATAATTTATTTCCTTTGGTATAACATATAGTAGAATTAATTGTGGTCTGAGGCCATGTTATCAGGAGGTTTCACACAAAGTCCACTTGGAATCAAACACTCTTTCTCACATTAATCCACTAATATATCTCCATCAAAATAAGGTGTAATTCCAATAGCAGTGAATGCGCCCAAGTTAAATCCCATGATAATTTCCCTGGTATAAACCAACGTGGAGTAAGTCCCAAAATAATGCTATTGTCTCCTTACATTTGGTTGGTTGGTTGAGTTGTTTATCGTCTACACTTCATTGACGAAGTCGTTGTTCGGTCGACTTCTCCCTATTTCTGATTGATAGGTTTTACGTCCGCTTCACTACCGAGTAGTTTGGCTACCAGCAGACTCCCTATTTCTCGTGGTTGGTTGAATGGTTTATAGTCTATTATAGTCTACACTTCACTGACGAAGTCTGTGTTCGGTCGACTCCCACCCCCACCCTATTTCTCACTCTCACTATACCTTATATAGTGACATATACGCACACAAACTGCATTCTCAATGGCTGACATCGGCTCCTCACGCGCCCCTCACCCTCCCTGATTGGCCTACATCGGCTCCTCACGCGCTCCTCATGATCACTCTCTCTGATTGGCCATACCGAAGTTAAATTTATCCACACCTTACTAAAAATAAGCTGTTATGCCGTAACAATCCTACTATGCCGTAACATGACCTACATCTACTACACCACAACATACAATACACTGACGACCCATATATACACGTAGTTTACTTATTTAACTTTCAAACATAACTATAACTGTATTAACTATAAAAAACGCAATAGATGTAAACTGTACATGTATGTATGACACTGTATAAAGTGGGGAAATATTTCCACGCCACACTGATATCATAGATGCACAATCAAATTTCCTTGTCCGTTAAGTTAACAACGGTAGCTTCGTTCCGGAACATTTGACCGCATCACTTATGATAAACTAGCTGAAGTACAATTCCAGTTTACCGTTTAGTGTTTCTAACGTTACAACATATTTCAATGTTTCTTTAGTTTCATCCCTCCTCCAGTCTCACCTCTCAACTCTCTGACTCTCTACTCCTTGACTGTGTTATCTCTAACTGATCTCTCTATCTATAATTCTCCTTAAAAACTAAGAAAGTATCGAACATGCAAATTAGCTATAACTAGCATTTCTAATGGTCAACTATTAAGTAAACGTGGGACTTATCATCATGAGATGGACAGCCATCAGGTGGTCAAATGTCCAGTATCACATGAAGGCTCCCAGGTAACAGTCTGTACTATCAATTATATCTAATGATGCAAACCTCCCTTGCTCTTTTCACTACTCTAAAGTTTGCTTCCTCTCCTTTCCTTTCAATCTTTGCTTTTTAACCTGTAGACATTTTCCCTTGTTTTGTTACCTCCTGTCCTGATATGACCCTGGCTGTTGTGTCTCCCTAGGTACCTGTCCTCATATGACCCTGGCTGTCGTGTCTCCCTAGGTACCTGTCCTCATATGACCCTGGCTGTTGTGTCTCCCTAGATACCTGTCCTCATTTGTCCACCAATCTTTTTATCTCTTACTGTCGTATTTGCCTCTTCGCTGACCAAACATGTACGATTAGAAATGTATATTGGACCAATATTTTATCACAGGGCAGGTGCAAGTAAATTTTAATAAATATGTATATTTATGAAGATCGCAATGTGTATCAGTTTTTATATTTATTGTATCTGTCGTATGCCATGACGAAATCCACTTTGTCTGCCACTCGTTTGCATCCTGTTGCAGAAAACATTTCCTCATCTTTCGGATAGTAGGACAGCTGGGCAGCAATTTCCCGTACATCTTCGTCAACTATATCGGCACGTCGGCGATAATAACTTTTCGCGATAAGGCTGTCTCTTATGCACTCGCGCACATGTTTACGCTCCAAAGGTAAGAACGGGACGTGGGCGGACACCATTTGATGCAGGAGTAGACTGCTATGGAACAGACCACCTAAAACGATTGAAATGTTAGTTGATTGAAGCAGGAGAAGGTTACTTTACCACACGAAAAGATTAAAATGTTGATACTATTTTTGTATCCATTTACAACTACAAACTTTAAAAATGAGATCCAGTGGATAGAATTACAGTTTTCAGTGGCGAAGCATGCATGCATGCTTGTATGCTCAAACATACGCTAAAATTTTCACGATGTTTTCAATCATATATTTTAATTAAAATCTATTTCTATGATTAATATTGACTGTCCGTATCAATAATAAAAAAGGAAAGAATAAAAAAAAAAAACTTCTTGAAAATTGTAGTCTGATAACAGAGTTGTTATGTCTATACACAGATGAAAATCTCGAAGGTTCATGTATAATTCTAAATCAAAAGCTACTTAGTGAAGTACCAAATTTGATATTATTCATATAAACAGTCGTTTGAAATTACTTGTTAATAATCAGACTAAAAGGATTTCTCAGAATACAAGAGATTGCTTCTAGGGCCTAATAGAATTCTAATTTTTTTTTCATCTACGGGATGGGGAACTAGTTCACCCTCACCCTCCTCCGGCGCTACGCACCTCGGACGCGTGACCCGCTATAAGCATTCACACTGAAAAATGATTTGCTACGCCACTGGTTTTCGCCGACGGTCTTGTTCCCATCTTTTGATACGTTCTCATTGCCGTAATAAAAAGAATTGATGAAGTGATATGGTACTCTTGCTCAACCACGCGATAATGCTGTAACGGGGACGGATTGACGAATTTATGTAAAAAGACAAAGCAATAATGCTGTTAAGTGGACGGATTTGCTGATAATGCCTTATGAAAAACTGACCACGTGACAATGTGCGAAAGAGTGGGTGATGGTATGTACCACCTACCCAATTACGAGACGAAATGATAATAGTGACCTTGGTCACCTGATGACTTGGAGGAAGGTCATTTCCCAAAAGAAGGATTGAAAAGTCATTTTCCCACAGAGAAAAACCTTCTCTTTCAGATGATCAATATTCTAAACCACACTCGACTACAAAGATACACCCTAAAATTGTTAAATTTAATTAAAGAAGATTTAGCTGATTATTGGTACGTATGACAGTTGGATGTGACGCTACATATCACATCACGGTGATTTGGGTTTATACTGTTATTTCTAGCGCAGCAGCAGATATACAATGGGCTGTTATAATTGCTTTTCGTCCGTGGTTTGGCACTCGTCATCCGGTAGATCAGTCAAAGCAAAATCACCGCAAAGGTCACTTGCTGATGTTACTGTATAAGGCATAATTATTGTGTTGCTTCTGTTTCTCGCTCGGGAACTGCTGAATGGATAACTATGAAACCGAATATGCTTAATCCTATTTGGTTCATAGTTGTGCATGCCAATGGCCACCAGAAATCCTGATTCGAACAGGGGATATAACGACTGGGAAAATATTTCTTTCAATAACCCATATATTAATTCAGTTTTATTAGAATTCGAACAACAGATCGAGGTTTTGCATTGTTAATTTACATCATTTACAGTGCGGGAATCCGTTGAAATAGTATCACGTCATATTCCAATTGGTCAAGCAGGCAACTTTATCCTCAGCATACATTTCGTGCAATTATTTTGGCAGTACATGTTCTATATGATGACCTATTACATGTACTGATATCTCTGGAACCGATGTCATCGTTCCGTTTGGCACAAGCTCTACTTAAACGCTTACTGACGTTCCTGTTGAACATAAGCTTCGCTGCTACTGACTTCCTACTTGAAGTTCGCTAGCTTGGCTCTATTAACGCTATATACCTGGCTATTAATAACATTCCAATCCACTTATTGACCGCTTTTTGTATCGTTATTAATACTGCAACGTTTACTTGGCCGTTACTATTTGAACACTTTTTAATTATTGACTGTTGGTAACGAGACATTTCATCATGACCTCTGCTGTCATTCAATTTGATTGGTTTACTAGACCGTTGCCTGCGTTATATTTCAATACTTACTCTTTTCGTTTAAAGCTTCAGTGACGATAAGTTGCTCCATGTCTACAAGTTGAAGCTCCTCCCTTTCACGACCATCTCTCCAGTGAGATATCACCCTTTTCTGTATGGCATTACCACCTGTGTTACTGAAAAACAAGAAGTGATCCAATACAAACACTTGTCATGTCATTTAAATAATATTTCATATTAGAATCCTATTTTCTACAATAACGTATATAATGCCATTGAAATGCGTAGCGTGATATTGTCACATCACATGGTACACTTTAGGTTTATATACGAATAGTCCTCTGATCCATATACCGTACAACAGAGAAGAAAAGGGAAAACACGCTGGCATTACACACAAAGACAATGTGAAGGTACATTGGCCTCTAACATGTGTGGCAGTTATTGTACACGTGCACTTATGCTTGGTAGGCTGTTCTATCCTTGATATGCTTAACAAGCATTAAGTCTCTGTCTACCGAAATCTCTTAAAATGTATCAGAGAAGCAATGGAGAAATGTGTATTAATCTACCAGTCAAAGGTGGACCATACAATCTACCATAGTAATCCAGAAACATAGAGGAGACCGAGGTGTCAACAAAACCGTTATCCGAATGATGGGGAAAACAATATGTACATGGCGACCATTGACACAGTACAAGGAGAATAAGACCAGGTGTTCCTGAAGGGTAATCGTCTTCTGTTTCATCGAAATATGATACAGAGGAACTACCAAGATGAAATTATGAGACCACTGAACATAATGATGAAATAGCAAAACTATTAAAAACTAGGATACAAAACAACATAGTCCGATCACAAGGATAAAATGGACAACCGGGCAATACACTAAACTTAATCTGTCATAGATGTGCTTTAAGGGATAGATCCGGACTAGGGCTGTCAGTCCAGTGAAGTCCCAGATGTGCTGTTTTATTAGGAATAGAACAAAAAATAAAGTAAAATAAGTTTGATCACTTGGATGTCTGATTTCTAATTTCTTAAACTAAGGGGAGATAAGCTGAAATTAAAATGAGGCTTGGAGATTCTTTTTAAAAATTAAGGGTCGCGTAGCCCGTCTATTAGATACCAATCATGACTAGGGCTGTCAGTCCTGCAATATACTGAATGTGCTGTTCTTTTGTGGACAAATCAGGACTAGGGCTGCCAGTCCTTTGGGGATAAATCAGGACTAGGGATGCCAGTCATGTGAGGTTCTAGATGTGCTTTTTGTATGGGGACAATCAGGACTAGGGCTGCCAGTCACGTGAGGTTCTAGATGTGCTGGTTTAATGGGGACAATCAGGACTAGGGTGCCAGTCATGTGAGGTTCTAGATGTGCTGGTTTAATGGAGACAATCAGGACTAGGGTGCCAGTCATATGAGGTTCTAGATGTGCCGTTTTATTGTGGACAAATCAGGACAATGCCAGTCCTGTGAGGTTCTAAGTCTCCTGTTTTATTGGGGACAAATCAGGCCAATGCCAGTCCTGTGAGGTTCTAAGTCTCCTGTTTTATTGGGGACAAATCGGGGCTAGGGCTGCCAGTCACGTGAGGTTTAGATGTGCTGGTTTAATGGGGACAATCAGGACAAGGGTGCCAGTCATGTGAGGTTTAGATGTGCCGTTTTATTGGGGACAAATCAGGACAATGCCAGTCCTGTGAGGTTCTAAGTCTCCTGTTTTATTTGGGACAAATCGGGGCTAGGGCTGCCAGTCCTATGAGTCGTCAACGATTGATGGCATAGTAATAAATACATACACAATAAACTGACTCGTTCTAAGACATTTAATATATGCTGACAATCCGACTACAGTAAATCATACCTGAGGAAAATAAATGTGCTTTTCCTATAGTTCACGCCGTTCAGTTTACGATAAAAGTCGAGGTATGGCTTCACTATGTCCAGGATACCTACAGGTATCTTGTCTACCTCATCAAATATAAACATGGAGCGCTCACATCTCGACACACTCTGTTCTATTTTCTCCTTTAACTTCACCTTGTGTAAAACGAGACATAAATGGTGACATTACAATATGAAATGAACTATTTTGCAAAATACGTCAAGGAAATTGTTGAATGTGTTTTTAATACACATGGTTTGCATACAGTCAGTATTTTGTATTATAATTAAATACCTTTTTAACGGTGCTGTTTGTATGGTACATTGTACATATGTAAATGCGAAAGAGGTTTTGAATTCATGCATACTTCGATTAATATTACTAAGTAAAACGTGGTAGTTTTAGCAGGCTCAAGCTTGGCGAATGTCATAGTGTTTTCACTTATAGCTGATTAATAACACTGAGTAGAGCTCTAGTGTTATACATGGATGTATGCTGGGTAAGAACGCTATAGTGTGAGCGAGTCATGGATCTAGGTGGTTTTTAGAGGAAACCATTAAACATTTAACAGTGTGGGACATCAAAGATTTACAAAAATTGGAGAACGGTGGCATAACCTTTTAAATGACTGATAGAAATGTTTTTATATCAAACCCTCTGGACAAACATTTTCCTCAATACAACGTATACGCAATTATGGTTATGACCCCATTACACTACGTACCATCTAGTTTTACCTTGTAATCATGCACCATATCCGGATGAGGGAACTCGTTTGTTGCAGCTATGAGATGAACGTATTCACTATTCATGCCCTTTCGATAAATGTTTTCAGCAATTATGCTGCTCACAAGGTTTTTACCTGTGCCCGTTCCCCCGTGGAAGGAGAGGGACAGGGCTTTGGGTGGGTCAACATCTCTAGCTTGCGCGCTAAAGTGTTTTAGAATTGCGGCCTTACCCAAGTGTTGACCATACACTCGTGCGTCAAGAGATTTTTTCAAGGCTGCAACGATAAATTATAATAACAGTAACAAGATGATGATGCTGCCGATGATGACAATGATGATGATGATGATATTTCGTAAAAACCTACCTTACTTAGCGAAGGGTTATATTGAACAATAGCCTAAACACCCTACAACTAATACGCATAAAGATAGCATGTGTTTTTGGTATGTGTCTTGTGAAATTGCTTCGTGTGAAATGTAGATCCATATTGTAGACTTAAAATGTTGGAGATCTTGCCGACACTGCTATCTGATCGACAGTACTAACGGTAATGTACAGTTTCTAGGACAGTGGAGAATCCACCTGTGATAAAGCAATGGACGTGGGAATACGTTTATCAACTGTATCGGTCCTCATACTACATATGGAATAGATTTAGTAATTGATTATCAATGGATAATTAAATAAAGTTAGTGAGAGATTTTTAGGTTACCTGCGTGTTTGTTTTTTGACCATTGATGTGCGTCGTCTGTCATGCGTAAAGTCTTACTTTCGATTTATCAGACACCGTCTATCAGATTTTGATGAAACTTGGTGGTAACCTTTTTTTCTCTCAAAATGTTTTATTTCAAACATTTGCATTTTTTTTATATACCTAGCATCTACATCATTCTTATAACCAGATTGTTTTATATATAGCTACATCATTCTTCATCCTGTAACCAGCATACATTGTTTTACATATCACCACCTCATTCTTTATCTTATAACCAGCATACATTGTTTTACATATAGCTACATCATTCTTCATCTTGTAACCAGCATACATTGTTTTACATATCCCCACCTCATTCTTTATCTTATAACCAGCATACATTGTTTTACATATCACCACCTCATTCTTCATCTTGTTACCAGCATACATTGTTCTACTTATTAAATAATGATTGTGGAATTTGATCTTCATTTTTAAATTTCTGTAGATTTCTTGCCTTCCAAATTAGCAATTTAGACTGAAATATGATTAGATTACATAGTTTATTTATATAATCAATATATATTCTGTGAGTCAACAAAGATTCTTTCCTGTTAAACTAATATTTACATTGCTTGTTGCTAGACATTCATTTAGTAATTGTTCTATCCTGAACCAAATTGTTTCACTAAACCTGCACCCACTTAAAAGATGTTGTTGGGTTTCATGAACTTCTTTACAAAAGTAACATAGATCATTTTATTTCTGCATTTGTTTCAGTTTATATTCAGTGTAGGCTTCTCCACTGAAAATATTCAGTCTAATGCAAAACTATCATTCCATTTCTAAAGGGATTTTATCTCTTTACTATTTCGACATAATATATATTTAATTATTTTGTTAATACACTAGTTCATGGCTAAACTACTGTTTTTATAAGTGAAAACTAAGTCATCTAAATTTTAAAGGCACTAATATTGTTTTCATTATTATTTTGTAGTATGTTTTTCCACCCTGACGGAAGGGCCCCTCTAATTTTTGAGAATTCCGATATCCAGTTATTTTCACTTTTTAACTTTTTCAGTAATTGTTCTGATGAAATTAAGTTATTTTGTTCAACATTCCAGATATGTTTTATCTTTGTTATTCCACTCCTTGCCCAATTTTGAAAAAAGTGGACATTTTCTTAATAATAAATTGATTTCCAAATAAGTTTTCGGTTAAGGACATCTTCTGCACTGCTTATAGATACTTTTTAGCAGTTTTTGCCAATGCCAAATTTCCTCCCGATAAATTGCCGGATTTTTTTTCAACTCGAAATTATGAGTAATGCTGCATCTACATAAGAAATAATTTGTATTGTAAGCTCTGTCATAGCTTTGCAGAAAGTGTTTACCTAGTATGTTCCAATTCTGTATTTCACTATGAATTACTCTATATATTAGTTTGATTCTATTCATTGTAACAATTATCTCTATATCAGTCATATTTAACCCTCCCTGTCCCTTTTCTAAATAGACAAATTCTTTTGCCACCTTATTTATTTTACTCCCCCCAAAAAAATCATATATTCTTCAGGTATGGTGTTTTGTGCTAATTCATAAGTTAACTGAGAACATAGTAGGGATTTGATTATTAGAGTTTTCCCTTCTAATGACAAATATCTTACTTTCCATAAATTGATTATGTTTTTTTTTTTTTTTTAATTTTACTATCCCATAGCCTTGTTTTATCTTTACTATACCATGCAATATTCCTTATACCTTGATATTGTCTCTGACCTATGATATATCTTTATTGTTTGGTGGTAACCTTAGTTTTTGCTGAGATCATGATTTTATACCTAACAGGGAATGCCACCCAAGTAAGTTGAAGCTGGACCATAAGGGGTCATATGGTACACACTTTTTCTTGTCATCTCTGAATTGGATATTGTGAGTATTTTACAAACATTCCATAAAATGATCGTTGATGACGACTGGTGTATATACTCCAGGTTGAGCTAGTTTCACAGAGGGCTAAGGGGCCTGGGTCATTTGGGATCAGTTATCTCAAAACATAAAACATTTTATGTATCAATAAAACTTGTGGGGAAAAAAAGTTATCTCAAAACATTAAAATATAGATATCCTCTAAAAGTAAAAGTTACTGGCTGATGGTTCCAATACTCTATAAAAGCCTACATTGAATATGATGATCAGACTTATACTAGGGAGAGTCTTTCAACATGGGTAATAGGGATTAAAAGCCAGAAAGTCATCGATGGATTTAGACTATGAAGGGCACATAAGGGGCCAGTGAATGAACCTCTTTTAGATGTTTTCGAACGGTATGTATGGATTGTGTATGGATTGTGTAGTGATCAATTTTTATGATAGGACGCGTATAAGTTTTAAGCTTTTTTTTTTTTACTTATGTGCAGCTTTATTTTGTATTAGCAATACATGTACTTTCACTTTTAATAAAATCTTTGAAAGAAGTGATAAAGGAATTTAACAGTATAACAGAACGATTCCGAAAGGTCGTGAAAGCATTACATTAATCGCATGAATGCTTTGTGATTTACAAGAGAACCTAGCTCTCCGGCTTCTATGTAGAAATATTGAGTATTCACATTCGGTCAGCAGTAGTTACTGACGACATTTACATCTTAAATAAAAGTACAGTGCTCATGCGTATGTTTGCAAAATAATCAGCCCCTAGACTTACCTTTCGAATCTAGTTTGATGAACTCATCTGTACAGCATTCTCCTTTAAATCTACACGTGATTGGTTCAAATAAGGACGCAATGGCCGCGAAACCTCCCAAACAAGTGACGTATCTTATCAGTACCATCAACACTAACCAACGAAGGGCACCACTGCTTTGGCGCAGCATCATGAAATTCTTAAATTGATATAAACAGTGGTTGTTAGTGTCATAACAAAGAAAAGGAGACAATATTAATTAAATTTATTTTGCCATGTAAGGAGAAGATCCAGGTGGCTAAAACAAAAGAAAGGGTTGTATAAAAATAACCTTGGAATACAAAGTGTTAGGAACAAGTGATTCCTTGCCTGGCCAGGAAACGAATCAGCCGAATCATTTCCTAAAATGTCTAGAACGCTATTCTCAAAATTACGATTAGGCTAGGAAAGATATTGCACTTTTTAGGTAATCGTCAAACAAATTGCAATGAAAAAAAAAATCACTGCAATGCAATTCAGTGAGATCCCCTAAATGGCTACCGAAAAATCCGAAAAAATCCAAGTAGTGGAAGTGTGCCTTATTTGCATAAATCCAATATGGCCGCTATTTCGATGATTTTTACCGAGATCGAGTTGCATTTCTTATCATTGGTAGATGTTGTGGCACTTAAAAGCACAAATTTCACATTTATATGAATGTACTATGTTTTACATACCATATACAGAGGCATATCTTGTTTAATTGTGCATCGCAGTATTCATAAATCCAAAATGGCCCCCGATATATTAAGGTTTACACATAGGTTTTGTCATATTTTTCAACTTGTAGGGTTGTTGGGGCGCTAAAAGAGTTTGAAAAGTGATCTGCTGTACATTTTTTATCAACTAAAATACCCATATACTACATGAACATCACACACCCAAAACAAACCCCTCCACACACGTGTTATGTATGTTCTATTAATCATCTTTTCAGATGACGATGCTATTTCATTATGCATGCACTAGACAAATATATTTTAATACGCAACACAAATATCATGTCATTTTATATTTAAAAAAAAATACAAAAAAAAAAAAATCTTCAGAAAACTAGCCCTTATGAGTATCCGTACAAACAGAAGAGGTGTTGGTAGGGCTATGTATAGGGGTACAGGCTGTACCTAGCATTATCCTCATGGTCGTTGGATTGGTTAGAAATTGTTTTCAGTGCAACAGTTTACTTTAGAGAGATGAGAAACTTTCTTGATAGCCGATCTACGCAAGGCAAGCCTACACACGAGCCTACATCAATAGGACGGGGACTGTAGTTGTAGATGTGATACTGGCTGTATTGTAGTTGTAGTAGGGATTGGCATGGACATAAACCAGTTCGAAGGAAAACATCATGAATCTGATAAAAGGTAAATTTAGCTATTTGATTAGTTTTAAGCTAGCTACATGTAAAGCAGTAGACGATGTAAGGACTAAGGGTAGCTCCAATGCTTCATGGACCTTAGCCGCGGCATTGAATAAGCCCGGTTGGGCTCTTCGAAGGCGTTTGACAGAAAAGTATGAAAATCCTACGGTTGAGGTTAGGTCTTGACTAGGCTGCAGATAAAACTGTAAATGTAGACCAATCCAAAGACGTCGGTAACAAGATAACGAACTCCATGGCTGGAAAGAAAGTGGATGAACATTCATTCAAAAGAAGTGACCAAGCAGTGACATTAGGTGCAAGGACTGCTGTAAAGATCGGCGATGAATCTGTTCATGTGGACCAACAGCTCCTTTTCCAGAGACTAGTCATTGTCAGTAGAGAACGTGAAGATACCTTAGCATCAGTTTTCAGCTACGAGTTATGCAGTCAGCCCCCTGCCCTGTTTGAATCCCTAGAGGCCGACAAACCAGTCTTAGCAGATGCACTTTAGAAGGTGTTTGAACATGAGCCGACACGAGAGCAGACACTACCCAGTTGTAATGTTCATTATGTTTTGGATGGCGGTGCTCTACTTCACCGTTTTCCTTTGCCACGTGGGAGCACTTTTAACAACATATGCCAGCTATATGTCAATTATGTCAGCGGAAAATATGGAAGGCCAACAGTTGTTTTTGATGGCTATCAAGGCGGTCCCTCAATCAAGGACGCAATACATCTTGGACGATCAGGAGATTGTCAAGGCCTGACTGTCAACTTTGCAGAGGACATGGAAATCAAATCCAAGAAAGACGAATTTCTTGTAAATGAAGCTAACAAGCAACGCTTCATAAACCTACTCAGTTCCAAGCTCGAAATGCATGGTTGCACTGTATCTCATGCAAGAGGAGGTGCAGATCTCTTAATTGTAACCACAGCAGTAGAAGCAGCTAAGTTTAAAGACATAGTTCTTGTCGGAGATGACACAGACCTTCTCATCTTGCTGATCTTCTACGCTGATCTGAATGCAAAGAACGTCTTTTTTTTGCACCTGAGCCCAAGGCAAACTCCAAGAAGAAACGAATATGAAATATCAAACAGCTGAAGGAAACTCTAGAAAGTAGTGTGTGTGGCGACATTCTCTTTGTCTATGCGGTTCTGGGCTCAACGTCTCGCATATTTGGACTAGGGAAAGGCGTAGCACTGAAGAAAATCGTGAAGATTGACGACTTCTGTGAGCTTGCCAAGGTGTTAAGTCAGCCAGCATCAGACCTGAAGGAGACCATTATTACAGCTGGGGAGAAGGCACTTGTATGCCTGTATGGTGGTGTCTCAACAGAAGATCTAGATTCTTTGAGGTACAGAAGATATTGCGTAAAGGTATCATCAATCTCGTCTGCCTTAGAAGCAAAGACTTTGCCACCAACTTCAGCAGCAGCAAAGTTCCACAGTCTGCGTGTGTACTATCAGATATTAGAATGGAAAGGAATGGCAGACGACCTGACAACGAGAGACTGGGGTTGGCAGGTCACGGATGGGAAGTATCTTCCAATACAAACTAACAAACCACCAGCACCAGCATCACTCCTTAAATTCATCAGATGTGGATGCAAGAAAGACTGTGCAACCAAGAAAAGCACGTGCCGGAAGTATGGCCTCCAATGTTCAACAGCCTGCACTGATTGTCGTGGCACTAGTTGCACCAACTCACCACCACCAGGTTCCAAGGTGTTAAGTCAGCCAGCATCAGACCTGAAGGAGACCATTATTACAGCTGGGGAGAAGGCACTTGTATGCCTGTATGGTGGTGACTCAACAAAAGATCTAGATTTTTTGAGGTACAGAAGATATTGCGTAAAGGTATCATCAATCTCGTCTGCCTTAGAAGCAAAGACTTTGCCCCCAACTTCAGCAGCAGCAAAGTTCCACAGTCTGCGTGTGTACTATCAGATATTAGAATGGAAAGGAATGGCAGACAACCTGACACCGAGAGACTGGGGTTGGCAGGTCACGGATGGGAAGTATCTTCCAATACAAACTAATAAACCACCAGCACCAGCATCACTCCTTAAATTCATCAGATGTGGATGCAAGAAAGACTGTGCAACCAAGAAAAGCACGTGCCGGAAGTATGGCCTCCAATGTTCAACAGCCTGCACTGATTATCGTGGCACTAGTTGCACCAACTCACCACCACCAGACTTAGAACTTGATGCTACTACTGACCAGCGTGCCACATAAATGTATGTATGTTGGAGACTACCAACTGTAATAACAACTGAACTGAGATTTTAAACCAATATAGACATATATTATAGTTGCTCTGTAATGCATTGTTGATATGTATGTGTTTATGCCAACTAAAGAACCAAATCATGATATATTTGAAAATTTAAAAGTATTTTACAACATGGAAAAGTGTTGTCGCAATTATTCTGATATTACATAGGACAAGAATTATGATTATAATCAATTCTCTACACAACCAAATTCCTTAATTGGCAGCCATTTTGAATTTATGCAAATTAAGACACTCAATTAGGCACATGAAACCTTGTGCAAACAAAAGCATTCTTGAAAATAACATTTTAGACATTCAAAGTACACTAAAAGTATTCTAAAAGGTATGTAAGGTGAACATTTTGACTAAATCTAGGAGAAACAGTAGAATTGGCGGCCATTTTGGATTTATGTAAATTAGACACACTTCCAATACACGGATTTTTTCGGACTTTTAGTATGTCATTTTGGGGACCTTACTAAAATGCATTGCAGTGAATTATTTTTTATTGCAATTTGTTTGACCTCAAAACACAATATTCCTAGCCTAAATGTCCTCACATCGCTTGTCTGTCGAGACAGGGCGACACAGAAACATTGAAAGATCAGAGACTATGTGTTTGTTATTTATTAAGAGGAATACACATTTTAATTAGTATGGTCTTTATACAGGTTTTCAAGGGCTTTAAGCAATTTTTCATGTAAATATCAATTTTGAAACATACAAAACAAAGATCAAGAAACCAAACTTAACTCTATATATAATGCTAATAATATGTATTACTATACTTTATACGATGTCGTATATTCACGTATATCCCATAAGCTCTATATATATTGTGTATGCCATGGCACGTAACATACATGTATTGTGCATTTAATTGAATTTTCTTATAAGCTTATGATCATGGTTTACTAAAAAAACTTGCACTTGTACATAAATGACAGCTCACTAGTCACTATATAGTGTTTATGTGTTATTGACTAATAAGTCACATGCGTTTGATTATGTGTTACTGACTAATAACGTACACGTGTTTGATTACGTGTCACTGACTAATACACGTTTAATTATATGTAATTGTTCACGCATGACTGAAATATAGCTAATTGGTGATTGTTAACCAAAGACTGTCTAATATCTTACATGTGTTTGTTTACGTTTTACTGTCTGAAAGCTTACCTTTGATTATCTGTACGAATTTCTGATTGTCAATTTCTTGTTGCTGGTATTCAATCAATAATCTTCGTCACAGAGACTCTTTGAAAGAATTAAGCGACCAGATTATGTAACTCGCCAATTGAAAGTTATCATGATATCGATCTGTATATAAATGGAATTATATGTCTTTACATAGTTTTGTAGCAAGTTAAAAATGTCATTTTCAGTAATGAAAATGTTTTATTTTTTTGTAAAATATAAAGTGATTAGAATTTTGGTTTCGTTTTCACTTTGATAAGTCTACCTATAAATAAACCAGGAAGTAAAAAGATATCAGACTGCTATGTAGGACCGTTTACTTCTACGTCTACCTGATAATACACCTACTCCATCATATTGAAGATCATGTCTATGTTTGGGTTGTATTTATGTACAGGAAATGAGAGTGAGAATAGAGCTACAATGTAGAGAGGAGAGACGACTTTTCAATGTTTCCAACGTTTCGGATGAGACCAGTTCTGGTGGGAGGTTGTTCCAGTCTGGGATAGTTCTGGGGGGTAAAGAGTATTTGCGGCAGTCTGTTCTACAATGTGGAGCGAGATAGGAGAAAGAGTGAGTTTCGTATCTGTCGCAACTGTTTTGTCAGGTATTTTTCTTTTGTAATTGCTACAGTATTAGAAATGATTTTAAATGTCATGGTAAGGCGGGCATCCTTACGCCTATCAGCGAGGCTGGGCCAGTTTATCATGCGGAACGTCAATAACGCCTCAATTGTTACGTTAGTTCCCTTTGTCCTCACCTGACAAACACAGAAACACACAGAAACAACTAACGTGTTGTCGACAGATATAGATTGTTTAACATCACACTACTAGGGTAAAGTAGGCATTTTGCGAAGGCGTAATAAACTCACAGTATCTTATTTCAGAATATATTCATTGTTAATATCTTATATGTGTACTACAGTAATAGGCCTACTGGACCCCACTGCATGTCTCAAGGAGTGACTAACTCGGTGTATTCTAGTCTTCAAAATTATTCTGCTGCATCCTTCTTTGCTCTCCATTGCCGTCTCGTCCTATTAATATCAATGTGACGTTAATACTGACACAACTTCCAATTTTCTCAGTCATTAATACTTTACTGTACCCGTGCTTGGACCAGACAGCAGAGCCAAATCAACAAGTACAAATCGCTTAGTTACATTCAATGTATGCGTCTTTTACACGTTTCTAAAATACAAGAATCCCTGCCAAATATCAAGTAAAGTCTTCTAAAGTAAATTGTGTGTAAAGAGCTTTTAGGATGAAAAAAAAGAGTAATATATGCGTCACTAGAATCGAATATCATTGATTACTCCACATTGAATTAATATTTGCAATAGTTTCTCTGTAAAGTTCAAGCAGGAAACCCCGAAACATATGTCTAATGTTATTACCAATGTAAATCACTGTAATATTGTTTATATGTTATTATACTATAAAGAGAAAGCTCACGATCACAAAGTCAAAATCGTCCCGCTTATCGTTCAGCTTATAATTAGTAGTAAGCCGTCCCTGTTGATAATGTTGTAAGTAAAGACCGAGGAAAGCTACTAAAGTTGAAGAGTCGGTGGTGATCTCGATTTCAAGGTCTTGGGGTACACGATCGAGGTGCTCAATGAATTTCTTAATTTTCAAAGACAGTACACCGTCAATATATATTAATGTGACATTGAAGGACTAGGTTTTTTACCAGTCCTGATAAACTCATCAATAAATTCAGCTTCATATGAAATATCCTCACAAAGAATGGACAAGATGTTGTCAAAGACATGCGTAAATTGCAGCCTAGAAAACGCCGAAACGTAAAGACTTGCATATAACATCTTGAAGTCGGTATAGTGTAATTAGTATATTAGTTTCCAAGTAAATGCACTAAATGCCAGAAAAATTATCACAGCACAGAACTATCTTGTGATGAGAATACGTGTCACAAACAACAACGCTGACAAGTATGCAAATATGAGGATGAGGTAGCAACACTAAATGAGTGATCGTTGAGTGATACTGAAGGGGGTTGCACACAAAACATGAAGCGAAAACGAGAACGAGTGTTCAACTCGGCCAAACAATCCACTTTTAATCATTAAGACCGTTTGAAAGAGAAAATCGCGCAAAAGAGCACTAACACAGGTGCAACTTAGATTCTCAACTGCTGATTTCGTCAGTCACAGAGCACGCGCGTAAGATAATGAACGAAACAATATACGCAAGAGGAGCGTATCGCACTAGGCAGAAATTCAATCTAATTCATTGTATGTTATTACCAGAGGAGCAAGTCTACTGTAGTCATGGACACCGACAAAATAATGGAGTAAGATTACTGAATCCCAATGGAGATCCCTAGAATGTACTGTACAGTCAATATTTATAAATAGGGGAACCCACTCAGTCCTATTGTGAACCATACTGGCTCCACTGCTTGCAATGTTTACATGTCTCTAGCAGACATTACTGTAACGCTAGTGAAATCAGATCATCGTGTAAAAAACGTTAAGCATCTAGCGGGAAGTACGACCACCATCATGATTAAAAAATACAAGGAATTAACTTGATGTTAATTATCTCTCTCTCTCTCTCTCTCTCTCTTTACAAACACATATATCTACGATGCGAGTTAGTAATTGGAATTTGCTGGAATTTGTGCTGACAACATACATGTATTTTAGAATAAGAGACACCAGGAAAGCTTTTGCACTGCTATGGGCAGCCAGTGCAGTGTCTCCGTCGAAGCCAACTGTTCATCAAACATCTGGAAGAAGCAATAGTTTCTATCTCCAGAGTACACGCCAACATTTTTCGAAACAATGCGTTGACGACATAATAGAAAAATCATAGTCAAGAAAGGACCACAGACGGATTTGGCCACCCTTGTCAAGACCGTTTTTCACAAAACATGCTCCAATAAATTTACAGTCGTAGACCTAAATAACCATTCGCTTTTCTTTGAAAGAGTTCTCATAACAACAAAAGTAAAAAGAGAGTTCCGTCAGTTTGGTATGAGGTATGGTTATGTGAAGTGTGAAAAACTCAAAAGCTCTGATAGAAGAAACATGGAGAAGAAGGGATGCTTAAGACTGATCAGAAGATATTTTGAATTCTTCAAAACCCACATTCCATGGATTCCATTTCTGGTCATCCTCGATACTCCAACGATTACGCTCACATACACTCTCTGCACCCCTGGAATATATCATAGTAAAATCGAAGGCTCGGTGTACAACACCTTGTGTATGAGAGGAGAACACTAGTTTTATCCTTTGATGTACACCTCAGAAAATGTTCGCGTAATGGTATTTACTAGCTTTGAAGACGGTTGTAGCTCCTTTGTAACATTCAAATAACAGACATCAGTCTGCAATTGGTCAGGGGGTTTTCACCTATCCGCGTGCCTTCAGTTTTCCTATGACCAAATTCCAGGGATGCAGAGAGCAAAGGTGAGCGTCACCGCTGGAATATCGAGGATGACTTCTGGTGTAAATTGTACAAGATTTAAGGTTACTAAGATTAAAAAGTTTGGGAAACGGCATGTTGATGCATCTAGCAGAATCAGCGATAACATATTGTATATATAAAGACATGCCAAATCTACTTACAAAGTTTTTTTTAGACTGCAGACATGACTGGTTGGTTGGTTGGTTGGTTGATGGGTTTATAGACTCCTTTTCACGGGGTTCACGGGCGGAGCCCGTGTTCTGGCGTCTTGAGGGGGTAAGTCTCCAGCTTACCGGGCCCTCGGTGATTCAAAATGACCTTGCCCTTCCAGATCACGCCCTTAGGTCGGTCAGCTCCTTAGATGCGGATAGGCTGTCACAGTTACATACAGCACGTATACGGGAGCGTGGAACACGTCCTTTAAACAGCTTCACTGTCCTCCTATCTCAGACATGACTTGTGTACTGCCGTATTTAAACGGTGTGCTCATCAGAAATCTGAGCTTTCACTTATGACCTTGAACTTGGAACTATAATTTTTAGGGCTTATCCTATTGTAATGACTAATAATTCAGTGTGAGTGAGATATTTAAACACTCTTTGTGCACTATTGTTCCTACAATGTTGATACAAACGGATGCACGAACGGTTTGTGTTACTTATTCCCAAGTAGACCTTTTAGGAAATATACACAAATAACATTTCCTAGTAATATCTACACATAAATTGAAGTAATATCATGTTAACACAATTACTTAAAATAATAACAAAATGAAGATAATATATAAATTTCAAACAAAAGTCATTCGACAACAAATTTAATACAAAAATAGCACCTGAACAATTGTATAGATCAATGAACCATTGAATTACATTGCTGGTAACACTTCATCTACTACAAAAGTTGTAAGATAAGTAGCCATGAAAAGCAAAACAAAAAGATAGGTTTCTCCTGTAATATAGGAAATGACTAGTCTATGGGGATGCTCACGTAATATGAGAAACATCTAGTCTATGGGGATGCTCACATAATATGGGAAACCTCTAGTCTATGGCGATGCTCACGTAATATGAGAAACCTCTAGTCTATGGGGATGCTCACGTAATATGAGAAACATCTAGTCCACTAGACTGGAATGTTTTAATGTAGAAATTTATGTAGGTTCGCTAACAGAATCATGTTTAAGTTGACAAACATCTTTAATTTATTTTATAAATAACCTTCAGAAAACAAACAAAAACTAAACTCTCTTCCAATCTCTCGCATACTGGTTATAAATGTTGATTATTAGGAAATTACAACACTACACCTTAGGCCGTATTATCCCTGAAGAAAAATGGTTAATTATCATTCTGCCTTTTTAACTTTATAAAGGGTCTTAATTTTCCCAAAATGCACTATGGTTTAATTATCCCCCATCCCCCATAGGATAGGTACCCTTGTGAAATAAAATTCACATTTTGAGGAACACCTGGATCTTTTCATCCATGTAGAATATACTTAAGATTCTAGAATAGCAAGGTCTGCAGTTGGAGGGGAAGGAAGATATGTATAGACACTAAATAACAACAGTTCTGACTAGTCTTCGGGCATGAACATTTCCTATAAAACTTTTTGAAATATGTA